GTCTAAGTGGAACAATTACTAACTTCTTGTTACTATGCCCGTGTCATGAGCCAGTCCAAAATTTAGAAACCTAAGGGGTCAGAGATGCTTATTCTCCATTCTGCAGTTTGGGCAGGCTTAGTGGGTCTAGCTCGTCCTTCGTCCCCTGGGTATCCCCTGGGATGCCTCGAAGGCTGAGGGCTGGAGTCTGAGCCCCTTGCTGGGAACCTGAAGGGACCTCCCCGTGCAGCCTGGGCTTCTTTACAACATAGCAGCTGAATTCCAAGAACAATTGTCCTGAGAGGGAGCGAGCGAGCCAGGTGAAACCCAGGTCAACTTGTCCAGTCCAGACTTGGAAGTCACAAAGAATCATTTCCACTGGATTCTTTCTTTAAAAGCCATTACAAAATCCCTCCCAAATTCAAGAGGAGGGCAAACATGCTTCAGAACTTGGGAAACAGCCACATCATGGAATAACATGTGGAACATGGAATATTGCCATGACTATTTTTACAAAATACCACCTGCCATCCAGGGGGCTTAATGGCAGCCAGCAAGGGATGGAGGTTTCCCAGAGAAGATGGCATTTTCGTGAGATCTGAAAGATGCCTGGGCATTTGCCAAAGGGAACAACCATGCAAAGGCCCGGAGGTGGGAGGGAGCACAGCACATTTAAAGAACTTTAAAAAAAAGAAAGAAAAAATCAGCATTCCCAGACTGCAGAGAGGAGGGAAAAAGAGAACATAGGAAAATCAGTGATCTGGGGGCAAGAGCAGGCAGACCCCGCAGCTGTAGGACGAGTTAGGCGTCTGGTCTTAGCACTGGTGCTGGGAACTGTGCCTGGTTTTGAGCGGAGACGCCTGAACCATCAGGTTTGCATTTGGAAGTGATCCCTGTGGCTGCTCTGCAGGGAGAGGTTGGAGGGGGTCCAGGAAGGTTGTTTCATCATTTAGGAAAAGACCACGGTCACTTGGAACTATGAGAGAGTGGAGGTGGGGAAAGGGGTGGAAGGGGGGGTCTGTAGGAGGTAAAGCGGAGGAGACAGGCTGGGAAGAGGGATAAAGCTCAAGGACACCTGGCTCCCAGCGCAGAGTGGGACTGTGCTCAATTTCGGGGAGTTCTGCAGGAACAGCAGCAAAGACGCCTGGACCCTCTCTGGCCACCAGATCTGGACAGTCCATCTCACACCGGGGCTTCACGTCATGCCTCGGGAATCTGTGGCACGAGTGCTATTAAGTTACACCAACAGGTTTAGCTCAAAGTGCCCTCTCCTCTCCTAAACTCCTTTCAGATTTCAAGGATCACTTTCAGTTTTCTCCCAAATGGTCAACTGAAGCCCTTGCTCTTTTGGAGAACAGGAAACCACATGCCACTTCCACTTGGGGCACATGTGGGGCACGCGTGTATTTCCGCGTGTCTCTGAGTGTGTGTGCACGTGTGCATGTGTGTTCACCAGGCAGACAAAAGCACAGTCGTATGTCAGTTGAGGGAGAGGAGGTTTTCTCAGTTATGTGTTGTTAGCTGATGTTCTTCGTTGTGCAAACATCACGGTGTGTGCTTACACAGAGATGGTAGGTGATATAATCCCACCACCACCCTCTCGCCCACTGTCATGAATGCCGTCTGTTGTTAGTACAAACGTTGTTATGTAGAACACAGCTGCACACATACATCTTTTAATTCTTATTTTTAACAAACATAAAGAATTGCCAGGTACAGTGGCGCATGCCTGTAATCCCAGCAACTTGGGAACCTGAGGCAGGAAGATCACAAGTTCAAGGCCAGCCTCAGCAACTTAGCAAGGCACTAAGACACTTAGTGAGACCTTGTCTCAAAATAAAACATTAAAAAATAGAACTGAGGATGTAGCTCAGTGGTAGCGTGTGCCTGGATTCCATCCCCAGTACCAAAAAATAGAAATCAAAAATTTGCTACTTTAGTTTTTTTTTTTCCTTTTTTCTCTACGATGCTCATTTACACAGATTAAGTTGAAAAGCCTTGACAATTTAGATAACACCAGCTTCGGAACACCAATTTCCCTACCCTTTGTCACATGTACTGGACCACTGAGAGTCTTAGATAGATCTTTAGCGGGAGTCAGGCTCAGGGGCACATGCCTATAATGCTAGTGGCTCTGGAGGCTGAGGCAGGAGGATCGTGAGTTCAAAGTTAGCCTCAGCAAAAGCGAGGTGCCAAACAACTCAGTGAAACCCTTTCTCTAAATAAAATTCAAAATAGGGCTGGGGTTGTGGCTCAGTGGTGGAGCACCCCTGAGTTTAATCCCTGGTACCCAGCCCCTGAAAAAAGATAGATCTTTAGTGTGAGAATATTTTGGCAAAGTTGAAAAGATCAAAAGATCCTATTGTGAACCAATCTAGTCCTACTAAATGGCGAGACTTTATGACTCAAATCTCTGGAGTGTAGAATGTGTTATGGTAGGGAAAATTCTAAGGGGGCTTCCAGGATTCCCACCCCCCAAACGCATGTTGTGTGTCAGTCGGCTTTGTCACTGAATCAAATACCTGAGGTAAATCAACTTACAAAGAGAAAAGTTTTATCTTGGCTCACACTTGAAGGATTCAGTGCAAGATTGGTTGGTCCTGGGGCCCCGTGGAGTGTGTGACAGAACAAAACAGCCCACCTAATGGCCCAGAAATGAAAAGGAAAGGAAGAGCAAAGACCCAGGCACATCCCCAAAGACACAGAAGACCTTCCACTAGGCTCCACCTTTTAAAGGTTTCACTATGTCCCACTAGTGCCACTCTGGGGGCCAAGCCTTTACCATGTGGACTTTGGGGGGACATTTAAAATCCAAAGTATAGCACATGCCCCATGGAAATCTATTAGTCCATATTCTGTTGCTATAACAAAGTGCTCAAAGCCAGTAACATAATGTGGAGAGGTTTATCGGCTCATGATTCCTAGAGGATCCAAACAGCATGGTACCAAGGAGTGAGGGCCCCTTGGTGCATCACAACATGGCAGGGAAGAGCACTATGCAGAAGAGAACAAGAGTATGTGGTGGCCTCACTTTGTAACAATCCACTCTCTCAACTCACTCACTCCTTGAGACCTAAAGTAATGCCTTCCAAGGGTGCTGCCTTCTCCTAGGCCCACCTCGGAGACAAGCCACACCTCGCAACACCATCACTGAGAACCAAGCTATCAGAATGCGAAGCTATGTGGGGCACACACAGACCATATCCAAACCACAGTGATTACCCTACTTGGCGAAGGTGAAGGGATTTTGAAAGTATTTTTGCAAATACATACGAGTTGGTTTTGAGTTGATCAGAAGAGAGATCACTCTGGGTGGGCTTGGCCTAAAAAGGGCATATTTAAAAGATAATCTGGAGATCAGAGACTGAAAGGGGCATTGAGGAGCGACCTGCTGGTGCCCAAGAAGGAACTAGCTGTTTGGCCACCTGCCCATGGAGAAGGGCAGCTCTAGGAGCCTGAGGTCCAAGTTCTGCGGCACCAAGGAGCTCTATTCTGCCAACCACCTGAATGAACTTGGATGCAGACTTTGAGCTTCCCCATGAGAACCCAGTTTCACTGACACCTTGTGAGTCACTGAACAAAGAACCCCTTCAGGCCATGCCTGTACTCTGACCTGAGGAGTTATAAGATAATAGGAGGATGTTATTTGAAGCTGATAAATTTGTGGCAATTTGTTATGTAGCAATAAAAAGCTGATACACCGTGAGGTGGCCTCATGAAAAATGTCTACCCTGGGACAAGGGGGTATCAGTGGAGGTCCTTTCATTATAACAAATGTCCCACTCTGGTGGGAAATGATAAATGTTGAGGCTGTGAATGTGTGGAAGTAGGGGGTTGGGAAATGAGAAACATTACCTAGAGCTGCTTAAAAAATAAATAAAGTCTATTTTTTAAAAATGTTCACCTTGAAGCCAGGCACAGTGGTGCAGGCCTGTAATCCCAGTGTCTCAGGAGGCTGAGGAAGGAGAATTGTGAGTTTGAATCCAACCTCTGCAACTTAGCAAGGCCCTGTCTCAAAAGGGGAGGAGGGGCTGGTGATGTTGCTCGGTGATTAAGGCCCTCTGGGTTCAATCTTCATTTTTTTTAAGTGCCCCCTCCATTCTAAAGGTGGGGATCAAATAACCACGTTGTCATGGATGTTGGGGAGTTGGGAGACCTCATATCAGCTAGTCTTCTCCGAAGCACAGTGAATGTCAAACTTCCATAGCCGCCAGCCAGAGTCTGTTGAATGAAAACTACTGCAAAAAATTATATATATATGTGTGTGTGTGTGTGTGTGTATGTATACATATGTATATATGTATATATATACACACATACACACATAATTTAGATATATACAGGTGTATGCATATACACAGGAATATATGTGCAAGTTTGCATATGTATTTGTATATATGCACACATATATGTGTGTGTGCGCATATAAAAGCAACCATTTGGAGAAGCCCTTTATTAGTTCTTATTAGTACAGCCACATGCTGCATGATGACATTTGAGTCCATGATGGATCACATGTACCACAGTGATCCCCAAAGGTTGCATGGCCTAGTGACATCAGAGCTGTCGTTTGCATAAACGTGCTATGATGTTCGCAGAGGACGGACTCACCTAACAACGCGTCTCAGAGTGTGCTCCTGTTGTCCAGTGACACGTGATTGTGTTTACTGCAGAGCGGTTGCTTCTCACTGAACCCATCAAAAATGTTGAGATGGACACAGAAGTTTTAAACCAGAAGTTGCAGGCGAGATCTCACTGTGTTAAGCACTCACTTAGTTTCTGCAGGGAGTTAACACCTGAGGCACAGACACATTGGCAAAGAGTCACTTTCCCCACTAAGGGTCCCCTCATAAGCTAAGTGTGTTCTTTAGTTAAATGGAGATGATGAGGCAAACCTAAATTAGTGATTTCCAACACTTGAAAAGCTGCTCCTAAGGTATGAACTCAGCCTAGTGCCCATGATGCATGTAGACAAAGAAAATGTGGTATTCATGCACAACGGAGTATCATTCAGCCATAAAGAAGGATGAAATTCTTTTATTTGGGTGAAGATGGGGGAACTGGAGGACATCGTGTTAAGTGAATCAAGCCAAACAGGAAGTCAAGTGCTGCATATTCTCTCTCATGTATGGAAGTTAAAAGAATAAAATAAATGTGCTGAGTGCAGTGCAGGGTTACTAGAGGTCAGGAAGGTTGGATGGAGGGGGTGGTTATGGGAGGCTGAATTTGATTCCTGCACACTATATACCTGTATTGCAATATTCCACTGAACACCAATAATATGTACAATTAATACCTGTTAGTAAAAATAAAATAGAATTTTTAAAAACCTAAGAAGAAAGCTGATGCCCAATGCACCTGAGCATACATTTTAAGATCACCGTTCAGATATTTTAAAATGGAAGTGGATGTCAACATTCACAGAACTGCCAAAGCCTGACTTGGAACCCTGGTTTGGGAAACAAATGAACATTATAGTCAGTAGAGTCTCGTCCACTCAAAAGCCTCATTTTTGGGGGCTGTAGCTTGTCACTCTGTGGCATAGCACCTGCCGAACACCTGTGAGGCCTGCATCCACCCTGATCAGCCCCCACAAGAAAAGCCTCATCCTCTAAGGTTGCTCTTCCTGAGAGTGTCTAGAACCCAACGGAGGGGAGAAGGAGCAGCAAGCACCACAAAGGTTTGGACTCCTCCTTATAGCAAAGGCTTCAGAAGGAAGCAGGGCTTTTTAGAAGGCTGTGGGCAAAGAGGAAAGATCCATTTGAGTGAAATGGCATCAGTTCAGCTGCTGAACCTGCACAGGCAGATGGTCCAAAAGCAAAGCAGAGAGATGTCAACAGCTCCCGCTTGCTCGCCTGTGCGCGCTCTCTCTCTCTCTCTCTCTCTCTCTCTCTCTCTCTCTCTCTCTCTCTCTCTCTCTCTCTCTCTCTCTCCCTGATTCCAAAAGCCTCAAGTTTTCAAGATAAAAAAAGCATCTTTATCTTAGAGCTTGGGAGCCAGGGAATAGGGCTGGAAGAATATAACCTGTTAACACGTTTATTACTTTAATGCAGCTTGAGTCCTAAAGTCAGCTCATGAACTTAGAGACAGGCCAAACGTGCCTCTAGATATAAATTTGAGCCAATTGCCAATTTTTAAAAGCGGGAACATTTTGCATAAAAGCCTCAGTTTCTGGCTTTCAGAAAAGAAGATCTAACAACGGCGGGGGGGGGGGCTGCTTTTGCCATGGCCATTCTGGGCTACAGTCGGGGTGCTCATGCCCACCTGTGAAAGGATGTGTATCTCCATGTTCCCAGGCTGTTGTTCCCTGATGTACACTCAGGTGTGTGGGAACCATCACTGACCAGCCCTCGTGGGCATTTGAGGGTGCCCCATGGAGGAGATACATGATGCTTCCAAGACTAAAGCAGGAGATGTAGTCCAACAAGACTGGGAAGGAAGGCTCCTGAATCTCATTTCTCAGAGCTTTTGTACAACGGGCTTGTGACTTGAAGCAAACCATAGTTACCTCTGCAAGGCTCAGTTTCCTCACTTGTAAAAGAGAGACAGCAGTTCCTGCCCTCCCTATCAACTGTGATGAGGATCAGACGACAGCCTCTGTTGCTGCATGGACTGTAAAGCTCTGTGGTCCACGTCAGTCTCACATTCGTCCATCCCTCCTTTACCTGGTCCTAGCATCCCAGTTTCCCTCCCAGGAATACCGTCTTCCATTCTCAGTCAACATTGTTGAGTGGCCATTCTCTCCACCCTCAGCTCTGTTCAGTTCAAGCCAGCCAATCAGAGCACTGCATTCTCCCGGAGCTCGTGATTGGTTCAAGGAGGAGTGTTGAGCCAATTGAAGCCTATACAGCCAGGGCTAGGACTTAGGTGCAAACTCCAGGGACAGGGGAGTTGTCTTTTCTACTGAACTTGAGAAGGCAGAGTGTTTGTTGCTAACCTGCGGGTGGCAGGTATGAGGCTGGAACCAAAGAAGGAGGAAAGAAGGATGTAAAGATGGAAAAGGCGAGGCCTGGTCTCATAATCGGAGGCCTTGGGTCCACAGGTACAGCAGCAAATGCGTTTTTTGCTTCAACCAGATTAGGTGGAGCCAACTCATTGGAACCTCACGCTCCATGGGGGGGTTTCACACCAACAGGCAGACTTGTGAATGTTTGTTTGATCTGGATTTGTTTCCCTGGGCTGACTGGGATGTCAAGCCCTGGGGTGTTTCTGCAGCTGCAGCCAGCTCTTCTCTCTGCCTGGACTTGACCATCCACACTGCCTTCTTGAAGTTCTTGAGGGGATCCTCCTGTGAGGCTCTTGATGAAGGACAGTGGAAACGCTCTCGGATGAGATAGCCATGTCTCGTGGGAGCAATAAAGCCATTGGAGGTGGGGATGATTCTGTTTACCACTGCATGGACAAACTGGACAGCCAGCAGGGTGCCTGGGGGATCAAAGGCAGGGCACAGATAAGAAATCTGCCACGCGGAGGCCAATGCTACACATTCCAGTGTTGGTTGCATGGCTGCCATGCTCCTTACTAGCTTAGATGGGACATTTAGCCTCTCAGAGTGCCTCTTACTTCATCTGCAAAATGGGAATGATAACAAAACCCATCTTCCAAGAGGAATTTTGAACATTTAAAGACATAATGCATGTTAGGTATTTACCATAGGTCTTTGGCCCAGAACAAGCTTGGCCAATATTATTGTTGGGGGAGTAGAAAGAAAAGTTATGAAAGGTTATGAGGATGGGCTTTTAAGGTCACAGACCTCAGCCCTCAGCGTCTGAGCTATGTGTGACTTTTTGCCAGGCATCTTTGCTACAGTGTGTTAGAACTACAATGTATCAGATGACAGTGTGTTAGGTTGCAATGTTCTCAGATGACAGTGTTCCACTATAATATATCAGATGACAATGTATTAGACTCTACATGATCTTGGTTCAGCCACTTACTTGTTTTTGATTTTTGTTTTAAAAATTTTTTTGTAGTCATAGCTGGACAGAATGCCTTCATTTGCTTATTTTTATGTGGTGCTGAGGATTGAACCCAGTGCCTCACATGTGCTAAGGCAAGCGCTCTGCCACTGAGCCACAACCCCAACCCTTATTTGTTTTTTTTTTTTGGTCTCTAACCTTGCTGAATCTCAGCATCTTTATTTGTCAAACAAGATTAGCAATGACACTGGCATGCCTACTGATGTCATAGGGAGATATCTCTGTAGGAGAGCCTTCTCTGTAGGAGACTGCATAAGAAAGTGACAAAGGTGAGCACTGGAACCAGGCACAGTGGTGCATGTCTGTAATCCCAGTAGTTCTGGAGGCTGAGGTCAGAGGATCATGAGTTCAAAGCCAGCCTCAGCAACTCAGTGAGACCCTGTCTCTTAAAAAAAAAAAAAACAACATTAAAAAAGGGCTGGAGATGTGGCTGAGTGGTTGAATTCCCCTGGGTTCAATCCCTGAGATCCGCCCCCCCCCCAAAAAAAAATGAGGACTGGAATCAGGAGAGCCAAGTTGAAGCTGCTGCCTCCCTGTTGCCCACTGTATTACTCAGCCTCTCAAAGCCTCCGTTTTTGCTTGGAAAATGGGAGTAACTGCTGAGAGAACTCACTCTCTCGGGAACAGTGCCTAATACATAGTGAATGCTATCTTGTGACTATGACCTTGGTGTAATAAAGAAAAAGGTCAAAAGACATTGGGGTTCTCAAAGTGTATGGTCTTAAAACAGGTTGTCCCTGACACTTATAAAAATTGGGGCAAGAGAATGAACGAATCAAGGTCCTCTTCCTGTAAGACACAATATATAAGCACTGCAAAGCTGGCATATAAACTAGTAAAAATATACTCTACTCTCCTACTTTGAAGAAGGTACCTTAAGAACCACCTGGAAGGTCAGGTTCGGGCACCTCAGAGTTCATTGCTGGGAGGTGGCAGCATGGGAGAGACAGTCCCCATGGTGTGTGGCTTGGCCCTCTTCTCTTCCCATCCACAGCTCCATCCACACCTCCCCAAGGCCACCTCCCAAGCATAGGTGTGCACACGGGGGGGGGGGGGGGGGGGCACAGTCCATCCCCAGAGGATGCCCCCAGGCAGGAGGACAGTGCACACGCCCTAAAGAGGGGTCAAGTCCATTTCAGAGCATGAATCTGACAGGCAGGTTGTGGGCCCATCCCCTTGGCCTGTAGACACCTCTCTAAGTTGAGGGACCCAGCTGGAGAAGGCCCGAGCAAGGGCTCAAGACCCAGCTGCTGAGCCAAGGCCCTTTCTCTCCAGATCAAAGTTCAGTCCTTCCCTGACAGCAACATAACTCACCATCCAGCACGCTCCAGACAATTATGGAGCGGTCCTTCAAGCCCACGTACACAAACTTGTCATCCTTGGAGAAGCAAGCGCACTGGACTCCTCTGCAGAAGGAACTCTGTGGAAAACAGACCGTGCGATCCTGATTCCAGACTGAAACACAGCCAGGAGGCCAACCCCACAGAGCCAGGCTCTGAAGCCCTCCTCAGGAAATGGACCAAAGGAAAACCTGAAGAGATGGGGTGAGGGCAGATTTCCCCAGGACCGTCATTTCATTGACGTTGGATTCAGTGGTTATGTATTGAGTGGTTATCTCCATTTTGCACCGGAGACTGAATGATAAGATTCAGTTTCTTAAGTGGCCTTGCTTAAGTGTTAACTATGATCACATTCAGTTAAAATCTATGTGCTGAAAACATTCCCGGTTCCCAGGTTGGATCTCAGAATAAGAAGAGGGAATTACACATTGAGCATTCCTAATCCAAAAATCCAAAATCTGAAGTACTCAAAAACCTGAAACTTTTTGAGAATTGACATGAAGTCACAAGGTATATGTGAAACATAAATGAATTTCTTGCTTAAACTTGGGCCCCATGCCCAAGAGATCTCACTGTAGATATGCAAATATTCTAATGTCTGATAAAACCCAAAATCCAAAATACTTCCCGTCCCAAGTGTGTTGGACAAGGGACACTCAACTTCTATTCCTCCTGATTACAGAGTTTTTTGACATCCCCTTAAACCCTGTTTACAAGGAAAGTGTCTCTCTCCCTTATGGCACCCTAATCACCACCCTTGACAGTGGCACGTGTATGCCCTTAATAAATGACAGCTCTTTACCAATTCTCTAAAGCCAAGACCCGCTGTGAATGTGGTGGGGCAGGTCACGCACCGTGTAGCTCATCTTGAATTTCCACTTGCAGGCCTCCAGTTCCCAGAGACACAGCAAGGCTTCCTCAGACCCGCTGACTGCCAGCTGTTCCTGGTGGCTGACCTCCACGCAGGTGACTCGGCTCCTGTGGGCCTCCAAAGGGAACACCTTGGAATTTGCACACTCGTACAGAAACAGGTCGCCATTGGTCATGCCGTAGACCACACGGTAATCAGTCAAAACGGCCACACAGGCTATGGTCTCAGGCAGCTGGGTATAAAAGGTGTATGTTGGCCCATCGATGACGGGACAGGGGTCTCCAGGGCTGATGTCCAGCACCAGGACAATGTTGTCATAGGCAATGGCCAGACGGTCCTCGTTCTTGCTCAAGGACATGCAGTTGATGGCCTTGCGGGCCTCTGGAGGGGGGATGCACATCACGTCCTGCCGGGAATTCAGGGGGAACACAAGGACAATTCCGGAAACAAGGCCCGTGAACAGCAGCTGGGCTTGCTCGGCGACCTCCAGACACTTGACCTCGTTGGACGTGTCCAGGGAATCTTGCTCCTCACCTGCCACAGGGAGAGGGCCACACTGAGACTGGATCGTGGGCGCACGGCTTCCCTGGTTTTCTTATTTTTTTTTAAGGATTTTAAAACTCGTTACCCATATTCTTCAACTTGGGGACTGCAAGCTTCCCTGACTCTGTCCTGCTCTTCAACAGTGGGAGGTTTTTACAATGCCAAGGGCATCGTCTCCCTGTCCTGCCGCACGCTGTCGGGTCTCCTACAGCCCTCAGAACACGATGCAAGCTCCTTCCCACCGTCTCTGAGGCTCACGGGACCACCCGGATTTGACCCCAGACTTGTCCTTTACAAACTTATGGAAAGAGCCGGACCCGGACCCTTCCTCTGTAGCTCAAAAGCAGCTGTAGACAGTCAGTGTTGAAGTGTGGGTGTCCAAGCCAGGCCGGGGCTGCCGTTTGTGGACTCCTGCCCCATCCCACACCCCTCTCCATTTATTGTGTCCTGCTTTGCCCCTGAACCAGCAGGTGACCACCTTGAGAACAGTCGCCTTGTCTGACTTGCTCGCTGCCAACTCCCCCCTCACCTGCCCGCTGACACTCGAAGGCTGTTTGCCAAATCAAAGAAAGAATGAACTTGAGAATGAAGTCGAGGGTCAGAATTCCTCTCTGTATTGTTTTCTCCTTAACAAGGAAATGTTACGCCTTGGCACCTCCAGTGGGGAGGTGGGAGGTACTGTTGATGATGGGCTCAGAGACCCCTTCTCCAGCCAGTCCCTCCGGACCCAGGGGTGCCCGCAGTTCCATTTTTCTACCGAAAATCGGCATCTCATGAAGGCATCCACTCATGTGGAGATGTCTGCGGGTCTGTCCCCTCACAGGACAGCCCATAGTTAATGACTGCCTGATAGAGGGGCCCAAAAGCCTGGTGCCCTCACCTAGAGGTAGAAGATCCTGTGGTTGCTATCAACTAAAGTTGGTGTCCTTCCCCCACCAAATTCAGACGTGGAAACCCGCCCCCCAATGTGCTGGTATTTGGAGGTGGAGCCTTTGGGAAATGACTAGGTCACAGGGTGAAGCCCTGGAATGGGATCAGTGCCCCCGGAAGAAGAGATACAAAAGCTTGCTCTCTCACGCTGGCCTCTGCCATGGGACGGTGCGAGAAAACGGCCACCTGCAAAGCCCCATCCGACACAGATTTGCTGGCACCTTGATGGCGGACTTTCTGGCCTCCAGAACCATGAGCCGTAAATGTCTGCGTCTGAGCCCCCAGTTCATGGAGATTCGTTAGAGCAGCCTAACTAAGATGGGGGACGGGGGGTCTTCAGTTCTTACCCACAGAAATGATCACATCGTATCCTACAAACCTTCTGCCACGTCCCAAATGGTGACTTTGTTTTTGTCCCCGATTTGGGGGAAGTAGATGTAGCTTCCGTTGTGGGACACTGCAGTGAGCCCCGTGCGGTCCAGGAAGGGAGCCGAGGCCCGGGGCCTCTGCGTGCAGGTGAGGTCCCAGACTTTGAAGGATGAGGACTGCTGGGAGGCGGAGGCCACCAGGGCCCCTCCGCGGACCAGCAGACTCGCAGGGGCTCCCACACCTTCCAGGACGTCCAGCAGGGTCCCCTGCTCTGACAGACTCCACACCTGAGCACAGAGAACAGGAAGGCAACGTTTTCCTCACGCCACCAGATCAGGGACATCCTTAGGCCCATTGGCCACCCAAATTAAAAAAGGTCTTGGTCTGGGGATGTGGCTCAAGCGGTAGCGCACTCGCCTGGCATGCGTGCGGCCCGGGTTCGATCCTCAGCACCACATACAAACAAAAGATGTTGTGTCCACCGAGAACTAAAAAATAAATATTAAAAAATTCCCTCTCTCTCTCTCTCTCAAAAAAAAAAAAAAAAAAAAAAAGGTCTTCCTATCTCCCCAGCCCCCAAGCCCCCCCGAACCCCACCAGCAATCACAGCAATTGTCAAAGGGTGCCCCCCGAGACCTTTTCAGAGGGTCTTCAAGGATCAAAATTATTTTCATAATAATTCTAAGATATTATGGATCTTTTCTGCTCCCTTCCTTTTTACAAATAAACTCGGGAATTTTCCAGAAGCTGTGTGACACTTGACATCACAACAAATGTAAGAACGCAGAGTCGAAGATGAGGATCCAGGCTGTCTTCCACTACGCCAAATGTTCAGGAGGTTTGAGAAAATGGGAAGCCGCCACACTCCTCATGAATATGCACACATATAGACATACATATGCACAGATCTATTTGTTCAGGAGACAGTTTTCATGAAAGTGTGTTACCATGTGAACATGTCATGTTAATGCATTCCTGGCTACATATTTTTGTATTGCCTCCTTCTTCACTCTTAAGAGGGTAAATATGAAGAGATCCCAAATGCAAGGAGGGATCCCAGGTTGAATCCCAGATGGAAAAAGGACTTTTGAGGGAAAACTGGGGAAATCAGATCAGAGTTTGAGCTCAGTTCATAGGATTGTCCTAATGCTGATCTCTTGGTCTTGAGAAACGGCGAAATGCACGAAGGGGAGGTTTCACGTTCACACTGGGGACTCTGCGTGACTCTCCTAAAATCTAAGGTCATTCCACAGGACATCGTTCATATGTCTGGTGAGCCTCAGAACACACACACACACACACACACACACACACAGTGCTGTGGTTAGTCCCCCAGGGCTTCATGTTTGGAAGCATGCGGCCTTTAAGAGGTGGGGCCTAGTGGAGGTGCCTGTCACGGAGGCACCATCCTCCAGTGAGAAAAGATGAAGTAGTTCTCAGGGGACCCTTATGATGCCATCTGCCATGATATGACACAGCCTGGCAGACGTCACCAGAGTTGAGGGTCTTTAAAACTGAAAGCTAAATAGTCCTGTGCGTGTGTGTGCACGCATGCTACATAAATGCACACAAAATATCCCTAAACAACTACTCCAGGGGCCCTTTTAAACATTTTTTTTAAGAAAACAGGGTTTCACTGTTGCCCAGGTTGGCCTCAGACATGGGATCACCTAACTCGGCCTCTTGAGTCGAGTGCCTGATGTTACAGTCACGTCCATGCACCTGGCTATAACCTCTTTTTTAAAATAAAGAATCTCGCATCAGCAGTTTCATTATAGCAACAGAACATGCAACTGTAAAATGTGCATATAAATATAAAATTCTACATAAACAAAAGCTCTCTGAGGTGCTTAATAACCTTTAAGAATGTCAGGAGGGGCCAGTGCAGTGGCATGTGCCTGGAATCCTGGCCACTTGAGGCTGAAGCAGGAGGATTGTGAATTCAAGGCAGCCTCAGCAATTTAGTGAGATCCTGTCTCAATATCTCAAAAGGGGATGGGAATGTGGCTTAGTGGCAGAGCACCCCTGGGTTCAATCCCCAGTGTGCCTAAATCAATAAACAAACAAATAAATAAAGAGGGCTTGCTGAGTGTGGCAGCACACACCTGTCATCCCAGTGGCTCAGGAGGCTGAGGCAGGAGGATGGCGGGTTCCAAGCCAGCCTCAGCAAAAGCGAGGCCCTAAGCAAGTCAGTGAGACCCTGTCTCTAAACAAAATACAAAATAGGGCTGGGGATGTGGCTCAGTGGTTGAGTGCCCCTGAGTTCAATCCCCGGTACCCCAAAAAATAAAAAATAAAGAGTGCCTGAATCAAGGGATTGGAAAACTCATACATGGCCACATGCTCTTCTCACCAGCCTCCACAACTTTGAACTCATTGACAACTTTTCTTTGCCGCAACCCTGGTCTACCCTGTAAGACAAAGTTTTTCAGGTCTAATCAGGAAATGTACCTCCTCCGTTGGGTTTGTATAGTTCCCACCCAGGTCTGCTGTTGGGGCCCAGCAGACACCTCCATACCCTCCCATGAACTGCCCTATTTTGCCCAAACTCAAGTTTGTAGGTTTCCTGTTGTGCAGACAAAAGATTCCTAAAGAGTCACATTTTTTTTTTACTCCAGAGGAAGAAATGAGGATGCGGCTCTGGATCCCCCTCACCTGAATGAGTGCATCCCGGGACCCAGTGACAATCCGGTTGTTCTCAGCTCCAAAAACAGCTGTCTCTACCACGTCCTCGTGTTCCAAGTCGTTGGCCATGAAACGGTGAAAGCCCTGTGAGTCGGCCAAGAATATTCGCACGGATCTTCCAAAGCCTGAAACGGCAGGGGCCGGGTTACAGTCTAGTGCCCGGTGGAGCCGGAGGGTTAAGACCATCAACAGAGACGTGGTAGAGCACCGCCTGCCTGGCAGCGGGTCCACATCCACCTGGTCCTCAGGGAGCGCAAAGCTTGGCCAGGAGCAGCCCTTGGTAAACAGGAGGGTGGGAGGGAGGAGGGAGACGGGGGAAGAGAGGAGGAGGAAGGAAGGAAGCGCTGAGCCCCCTCCAGGGCCTGCGAGTCAAGAAGCCTTGGTCCCAGGGTGTGCTGTTGGGAGGTGGGGGAGCCTTTGGGATGGGGGGGCCCAGCGGGAGGCCCCCGTCAGTGGGAGCAGAGCCCCTGGAGGGGACAGGAGACTCTGACCCGTCCCCTGTCTCTGTTTTCTTCCTGGATCATGAAGTCAGTGGGTTACTGGGCCACAGGCTACCTGCTGTTACCATCTGGGGTCCCCACTAGAGGCCCGAAGCAATGAGGTCTCCAGAACTCTGAGCTCAAAGAACCTTTTCTCTTTATAAGTTCACCAGCTCAGGTATTTTGTTATAATAATGTGGAAGCTGGTTAGTAGAAGAAGGGAGGGAGAAGGGAAAGAGGGACGGGGATTACAGGTTGCTGTGAGGACACCAGAGGCAGGGAAAATGGCACAGAGACCCACACAGAGGAGAGGTCAGGTAAAGACAGAGGCCAGGACTGAACCGAGGGGGTTACAAGTCGAAGGAAAGCTTTTGGCAGAAGCTGGAAGGACCCTGCCCAGCGCCCCCCCCCCGGGGGGGTTCAGGAGGGGGCAGGGCTCTGCCAAGGCCCCGGTTTGGACTCTGGCCTCCGGAACCATGAGAGAAGCTCTTTCTATTGCTTTAAGTCCCCCAGTTTGTGTGGTGGGTTAGCACAGCTCAGGACGTTTGACCTGGCCTTGGAGGGATGAGGAAGTAGAAGTCCCTGGAGAGGGGGAGGTCAGGGGAGGCCCAGGAGGCAGCGAGGAGGCTGGGGGGACTGAAGAGAGTGAAGGGAGAGAGAGCACTGCAGTGTCACAACCAATGAGCCAGAAGAGGAGGCCTGGGGACCAACACATTTTTACTAGTTCATCTTACGTAATCGATGAGGATGCTTCCCCTGACCCTTGTTCCACCCGACGTGCAGAGTCTGTTAGAGTCTGTAAACAAGTCAAAATAACACCTGGCATTTTGCCAGGGGAATGTTAGAGTTTGTAAACAAGTCTGGATGGTGCCTGGCAAAATGCCAGAGGGAGTGGTTTGAGAAGTAACAAAAGCGAGCCATTAAGTGTGGAGATTCCTGATTGGCTGACTGCTGTATCTAGTTTATGCTAATTAGATAAGCTGTGTGGAATGTATAAATACCGCTCCTGTCCTGCAATAAACGGCTTCCACTCCCGCTGTATCAACGGTACACAAGTTGTTCGTCACCCCCCCCAGCTATTTTGCCCAGCCAGCCGGGCTGCGGCAAGAGTCCACTGAGGCTCTGTGTGTTACCTGGCAGCCCACCCAGGGGCAGGGCGGTGGGCAAGGGCCGGATGGCCAGGGCTAGGGAGGCCCCTTTTGCTCATTGAGTGTGGGGTGTGCCCCCACAGCCAGAAGAGTAACACGACTCTGTGTGTGTGAGCGTGTGTGTGTGTGTGTGTGAATGTGTGTGAGCGCATGTGTGTGTGTGTGAGTGTGTGTGTGTGTGTGAACACCTCCTTACTTTACAAAAATATTTCTGTTCCTGGAACACTGTGGGTCCCAGATTGAGCTGCTCATTCCCAGTGTCACTATCATGGATCTTATTCCAGCGGGTACCTGGCACCATCCCAGAAATTACTGCCTATAGAGGACGAAGGCCACCAGTTAATTCTTCCAGCTGTTCAGAAACATAATATCATGGGTGAATAAATAGATATTCTGATGTAAGTCCCCACCATGATTGAGAACATGGAGTTAAACCAGATTGTGGGCTCAAATCCCAGCCCCTCTCTGTGACCTCAGGCAAGTTACTTAACCTCTCTGGGCTTTAGTCTCCTCATCTGGAAATGAGAATAACGAAAGTGCCATCTTCCCAGAGCTATTGTTGGAGAGTAGAGGAGTAGATCACTCAGTCCGGGTTCTGACCAACCCTAACCACCCTACGCCTTAGCCGCTGTTATCATAGCGGCGACTCTCGTGCTGAGGGTGGGCCCCACCGTGCTGTGCCAGCCTCTTGAGGACCCCAGGACCAAGCCAAGTCAGCAGGAAGGTGGGGTCAGCGCCCCACTCACCCCCTCGCAGAGCCTCTGTGAAAGTGTGGGGGCTTTGTCTGTTTGGTGGAAGGCACGGCTCCCGCAGAAGAGTGTTATAAGAAACTTGTACATCAAATTAGTGACCCCCAGAGGGTGTGTGTATCTACCTGGGAGGTGATGGCTAACCAGCGCCCTGAGCTGTCCACACCCTGCACATCAGAGATCTGGCCTTTGCCCAGCTCCAGGCTTTTGGAATGCTGCCTGGTAGGAGCAGTCTTTTTGTTTTTCTTTGGGCTTAACCCTGACCCGCATCCCCAGACCTGCTCATTATCATTTTTTAAAATTTTGAAACAGGGTCTTGCTAAGTTGCTGAGGCTGGTTTGAACTTGCAATCCTCCTGCCTCAGCCTCCTGAGTTGCCGGGGTTACAGGTGTGCACCACCACGCCCGGCATGAGTGGTCTTTCTGTACCTGGGGGATTGGTGTCACATTAGACAGTTACAAAGTGACTTCTGGTGGGAGCTTTAGACAGGCAGCGTCAGCTTGACCTTGGGAAGGTTGGAGACTAAGGTCAGCCATGCAGACGACCAGCTCCGCCCGTGTGACCAACAGGGCCTTGGTGAACCCCGGGTCAGCAGGACAGCAGTGTACTGACTGCACCTCACTGCTGAGAGAGGCGAGACACGCCACCAGGAGAGAACTCGTGTCCACTGTTTCCTGGGCTCTGCCCCGTGACCTCTTCTCTTTGCTGATTTTAATCTGAATCCTTTTGCTGCCATTAACTATAACTGTGTGTATGATAGGTTCTGCCTTTTCTGAATTCTGTGAGATGTGGAGTTTCATGGAACTGAACACAGTCTTGGGGACCCACATTGCACTCCTATTCATAATCCTTAAAAGGGACCCTTGTCTTATCTTTGCTAAATTGGGGTCAGGCTGGTTTTGAGAACAAGAGACTGGTTTCCAAAACTGTGAATGGGGAATTGCCCAAGTTCCATCCACTCATTGGCTGCTGGAAGGAGCCAGACCTGAAGCCCAGTTGAAAGGCCTTTCTAGGTGATTAAGATCCTTGATGCTTTGGCCTCAATCCTGATTCTATTTTGTGCCTCCAGCTCTGATATTCTTTCTTAAGCCACCAACAGTTCTTTTGGAAAGAGGATAGAAGGTATATCAATCAATCATCAGTCAGTCTATTATCAGTCAGTCTGCTGACCTGTACTGTCCAAATCAGTTACCGTCAGTCATAGGTGGCTGTTAATGTGGTTGGTGGGAATCAAGATATCCCATAAGTGTGAAGCACACACCAGATTTCAAAAACCTAGTTACAAAAATGAACAAAAAAAGAATGTGAACTATCCCATTACTGATTTTCACATTGATTCCCTGCTAAGTCTTTGGGTTTAATGGGTTAAGTAAGATATATGATTAACATGAATGCCATCTATTTCCTTTTTTACCTCCTGTAAGAGGGTTTCTAGAACATTCACCATCATAAAAATGGCCTGCATTACTGGTTGGGGCTGGCCCGTGTCTTTGGCCCCTGGAAATGTCAGGCTGTGGTGGTCATAGGATTCAGCCACAAAAATAATTAAATCTTGTCATTCGTGACAATATGGGTGGCTCAGCACGGGTGGACAATCTTTCTTTTTATTAATTTTCTGGTAGTTGTAGATGGACAGCAGGCTTCTATTTTGTTTATTTTTTTAATGCAAAGCTAAGGATTGAACCCAGTGCCTTGCACATGCTAGCCAAGTGCTCTGCCGCTGAGATACAGCCCCAGCCCCGTGGGTGGACATTCAGCAGGCGCAGAAAGACAACTGCTGCATATTCTCATCACATGTGGGAGCGAGGAAGTCGGTCTCCTGGGAGCGCAGCGTGGAACAGTGTTGCTCAGGGCTGGGAAGGGAAGGGAAGGGGAAGGGGCGCTGGACAGCAGGTACCAAAGCCATTCAGATAGGAGGAATTCACCCCTGTCTCCTACAGTGCACTGGGGTGACTACAGCGTTTAATAATTTATTATATATTTTATAAGATGAGCTGAAGATTCCTGGCACAAAGGAATGGTCAATGTTCAAGGAGATGGAGATGAAATTCCCCTGATTTGACCATTACCCACTGTATACATAACCGGATTCTCAGTGTGCCCCATAATATGTGCCATTATTATATGTCATTAACTTTTTTTTAAGATTGGGCTGTGGGGGACTGGGGTTGTGGCTCAGTGGTAGAGTGCTTGCTGTGTGAGGCACTGGGTTCCATTCTCAGCACCACATATGAATAAATGAATAAAATAAAGGTCCATCAACACTAAAAAATATTAAAAAAAAAAAAAAAAGATTGGGCTGTGGGGCATCCGTTGGTCCCCTCTACCGGGAGTCCTCCTTGATGTCCCTGGAGAAAGGCAGGGAACCCTGTGACATGCTCCCCAGACCCTGATTCTCGCCTTGTCATAACACCAGTCACAATCGCTTTCAATGACCCGATGTCCTTCCTGGAGGCTGCCAGACCCTAACCCCGGGGATTGCACGGACGGGCTCAGCCCTGGGCACAAAAGCATCTCCATCTTCTGCTGTCCCTTGGTGCGCTTGGCCGCTGTGATTGTCCTGCCGGGATGGCTACTCCTGAAGCCTAAAGCCATTAGGAGATTCCCAGGACCCGGGCATCCAGGGCGGCTCAGGGCCTGTTTTTGTGTGGTCCTTGAGCCAAGGACAGTTTCTTCATTTTCAAATGGTTGAAAGAGATGAAAGTATAACTAGGATTTCAGGGCAGATGAGACTGATATGGAATTTCAAAGCCAGTGTCCGTGAACTCATGCGGGCACAAGACCACGCAGGCTGTACAAAGTGCCCAAACTGGCTTTTGTGCCCTAAAGGCAGACTAGAGCCTGGTGACACACGGCTCTCCGGCCTGAGAAGCCAAAACATGTTTGCTCGGTGGCCCTTTGCTAAAGCCTGCTGACCTCTGACTTAGGAATCTTCCCTGTCCCCAAGCCCTCCCCACTTCCCACCCGATTTTGAATGTCTCCCTCAACACTTGAAAATGAAAGTCAGACGCTACCTGCAGCAAGAAGGGACTCGTCTTCAGAGACCACCAGGAATCCCACAGCTTCTGGAAGCTTCTCCAGCAACCTGTCTCCTCCAGGGGAAACCTGTCCAGAGCCAAGGACAAAGGTCAAGCACTTCCACGGAGCTTGGATTTGACCCAGGGCAGAGATGCTGAGCAGATCCTCAACCCCTGGCCCCCCAGTTGCCCCATATTAAGTGGGAGATGCAGCCGGGACCTCTTTGCAGGGTCATGGCAGGTGGAGGAGTGCGTGGAGTCACCCTGCCAAAGGCCATGGTGCAGACGCTGTCAGAACCGCTCAGGGACCCAGGGAACATTCCAGCACCATTTTCTACCCTTGAAGGAGCTCTGGAGATCTCAGATAAGATAAGCACAGGTTGGGACAGGCAGGTGAGGCTCGCACACTCCCAGGAGCTGGGGAGCCTGAGGCAGGAGGATCGTGAGTTCAAAGCCAGCTTCAGCAAAAGCAAGGCCCTAAGCAACTCAGCAAGACCCCATCTCGAAGTAAAATACAAAATAGGGCTGGGATGTGGCTCAGTGGTCGAGGGCCCCTGAGTTCCATCCCCAGTCCCCCCGCCCCCCGCACCCCCAAAATAAGATAAGACACAGGTTGGAGCCAGAGGAAGCCCTGTGGGGTGGACACGGTTCAAGCGTGTCCCCGGGGCTCATGCGTTGGCAGCTCGGCTCCTGGGGCGGTGGTGCTGGGAGGCAGTGAGGAGCCGCAGGAGTGGGGCCTGCGGACGGGCCTTAGGTCAGTGGGGACGTGGCCTCCGCCAGAGTCTGGGAATGGCCTGGTGGGCCCCAGGGTCCATGTATTGAGATTTGGTCCCCAGTGTGAAGTATTAAGAGTGGAAACTCGACTTGACTTGGGGTCTTTGAGAGGTGACTAGAGTTAGATAAGGTCGTTATGGTGGGGCCTCATAACTGAATCCCAGTGGCCTCATGAGGAGAGGGAGAGAGATCACACATATACACACATGCACACACACACACACACGCAAGCTCCCTGGCACTGACGACAGACCCTGCTAGCAGAAGGCCATCACTAGATGATGCCTTACAAACTAGACCTCAAGAACCATGAGCACAAATAAACCCCTTTTCTTTATAACTGACCCAGTCTGTGGTATCATGTTATAGAAACAGAAAAGGGGACTAACATACCCTCACAAGGTGTTGTGGGACCTCAGACACCGCTCTCTCCTTTCTGTCTGTCGATGCAATCTCTTCCTCTCCCTTACATTCCTGCCTGGATGCCCTTCGATGGGTCACCTGACCTTGGACTTTCAGCCTCTAAAACTGTGAGCTAAAGAAACTTGTCTTCTTTATAAAGTTCCCAGCTTCAGGTATATCAGTACAGTAACTGACCACACACTCTCCATTTCTGAAGGGAAGTTTTATTCCTCAATCCTGATATTCATCCCAAATTCGGCTACTGATTTTTAAGCATCTGACCCACAAGAGGCCCCAAATTGAAAGCTTTACATTCATTATCTTGGACAGATGGGCTGCACAGATAACCCTAAAAGTGAGTCATTTGCACCAGTTCAATATTGTAAAGATAAGTTGTTCAATCTGTATTTAGTACAGGCAGGACCAAGTGAATTTCTTCTTCATGGTTGTTATTGCTTATTTTTTTAGGTGATCCTCCTCCTCCTCCTCCTCCTCCTCCTCTCCTCCTCCTCCTCCTCTCCTCCTCCTCCTCTCCTCCTCCTCCTCCTCCTCCTCCTCCTCCTCCCCCTCCTCCTTCTTTCTGGTGCCAGGAATGGAACCCGGGGCCTGCACATGCTAAGCACTCCCCTCGACCACTGAGCTAGATGATTCAACAATGATACTGTATAAGATTCTAAAACCAAAAACTGCCTGGAACGTGTGTGAGCGTCACCCCACCGTCCCCCTTGGTCTCCCTGTCCAGGGCTGACTGCTGTCCGTATGAGTTTTAATGGTCACTTGCATAATAACTGTCCATCTCAGGTCCTGGACATAAGCTGCCCTTGTTCTATACAGTGTGTCTGGGGCAGCCGTCCTCCACAGGGTGACTGTGCCCAGGCAACACTGGTCGGGGCCTGAGGACATCTTTGGTTGTTAGGATTGAGGATACTCTGCATTGGGTGAGTAGGGGTCAGGGATGATGCTCAATGTCCTACAAGGTCAGGGCAAACCCCAGAGCAAAGAGTGGACTGTGCCCGGGCGTCAAGAATTCCAGGTCCTGAAAGCCTGGCTCTGGGAAGCTGGACACAGCCGTCGGAGCACAGGGCCAGAGCCAGGCTGCTGGAGTTGGAAACCTCTCCCCAGGGGTGCGGCTTTAGGCAAATGGCCGTCCTTCTCTGTGCCTCAGTTTACCTCGCTGTAACAGACGACAATAGCAGCTACATCCTGATGCTGTTTTCAGGGTTAGATAACGTTACAGACACGGAGTCCTCAGACAGCGAACGCCCCACGAGAATTTGTTATTTCCATGAAAGCACCTCTAGCCCAGAGCTTGGCAGACTTTTTCTGGAACGAGCCAGAAAGTAAATCTGTTTAGCTTTGTGGGCCATGCAGTCCCAGCCCTGTCACTGAGACCCAAGATCCCATGGACAACATTTAAAAGAATGGCCATGGCTATGGGCTAGTCCAACTTTTTCTGTGGATTAGCTTGAGGCCCTCATCAGAAGCTGAGCAGATGCTGACACCATGCTCTTGAACTTGCCTGTCTCTAGAACTGTGAGCCCAAATAAACCTTTTTTCTCTATAAAGTTCCTAACCTCGGGCATTTTACTAGAGCAATGCAAAGTTGCCCAAGACAGGGCTCTTACATTTCTACGGTTCATCCCCTGTCTAGCATGGCGCCTGTGCTTCTCCATCACGACTCCTTATGTGACTTGCTTTTTTTTTTTTTTTTTTTTTTTTTTAAATATTTCTTTTTTAGTTGGACACAATACCTTTATTCATTTTTTTTAAGATAGAGTGAGAGAGGGAGGGAGAGAGAGAGAGAGAGAATTTTTAATATTTATTTTTTAGTTTTCGGCGGACACAACATCCCTGTTTGTATGTGGTGCTGAGGATCGAACCCGGGCCGCACGCATGCCAGGCGAGCGCGCCACGGCCCGAGCCACATCCCCAGCCCGTGACTTGCTTTTGCAATCGCATCTAGGTCCCCGTAATGGTTTTCTGTCTTTCTGAAAGCTTCTTGTTGGAAACAGGTACAGCGTCACAGCTGGGGGCTCTTCCCCTCCCAGCTTACCGAGCAGGTCAGTCCATACATAAATGTCCATGGGAGCATCTGTCCACCATGTGGAACTCGGGGATAGCATTCAGCTGCTGGCCTGTCAAAGAGGATGCCTACCAACGCCTCCTGGAAGGACCCAGCTCTACCATTGCCACATCACCCAGGCCCTGGGAACACCCACAGAGGTCTCCTGAACTGTGACGAATCGAGAAGCTGCATGTCATACAGAAAGAGCACGAGGAAGGTCATTCTCCCACCTCTGGAGTGTCTTGATACTCCTGAGGTGAACAGGTGCCCGCATCATGAGCAGCAAAGTGACTTACCAAAGAGACGGAGCCGTCGCTGAACCCAGTGACCACCTTGCCTTGCGTCTGGACCGAGACGGCACAGGTGGGGGCCTCCTCTTTGATGCTGGACAAACGGTGCTTTCCCTGCAGGCTCCCTGTGGCCGAGTTCCACAGAGTGACCTCGCCGCCCCTGGACACGGTCAGCAGCCTGGTCTGGGAAGGCAGCACGGCCGTGCTCACCCAGGGATCTGCACCGTCTCCCAGGATGCGGAAAACCAGCTCCGCCGTTTCTAAATTCCAAGCATTGATCTAAGGGAACAGTGAACAGGAGAGCCGTCCAGCAGCGCCCCGGCTGCGCCTCCACAGGCAGATCAGACCGTTGTTTCTACCCCACTTTTCCCTCCCTCCTTCTCCTCCCCCCTTCCTTCCTTTCTCTCGTTCCTGACTTTCTTCCTGAGCTGCCCTGGCTGGCCTTGAACCCTTGACTTAAGCCACCTCCCGCCTCTGCTCCCAGTATCTGGGACTCGGGCACAGCCACCACGTGAGACGAGAGCCATCCCTTTCTGTGGTTCATGCTTTCTATTTCATGATATTTCTATTATGGATCTTGTGTCGGATCTTAAAACAAAAGGACACATGTGGACAATTGACGGACTCCCAGTAAAGTCAGAGCTGAGCTGATAGTGATCATCAATATTAATGTCTTGACTGTGACCAACTTACTCTTGTTATAGAAGATGTGGTCAATAAGGGAGGCTGGGTGGAGGGTCAGGGGACTCTCACCTCGATGTAGCTCTTACCTAAAGCCAAAATTGTTCCAAATTTTAAAAGTTTTTAACACAGAAAAAAATGTCAGCAGTGCCCCAGGCATTGACATACCTGTTCGTTACAAGTGATTATTGAATAAAGCAGCTTAAAATTCAATTTAACTTCCTCAAAAGTATCTTTTTTAATGGGCATTATTCATCTGATTACTAAACTTTTGATGTTTATTCTACCTCCAAAGTATAGATTAAAAAATTAAAGGGTGAGCCAGGCATGGTGGCCTGTGCCTGGAGACCCAGGTACTCGGGAGATTGAGGCAGGAGGATCTCTTATCTCAGCTACTCAGGAAGCTGAAGAAGGATTGCTTGAACCCCAGGAGGCAGAAACCAACCTGGACAATATAGTGAGACCCCATCTCCAAAAAAAAAAAAAAAAAGACAGACACAATGGTGTGCATATAGTATGAGCTCCAGTGGGAGTTAAAGACTATATACACACAAAGTTATTCAGTTATTTGTAAGGGCAAAGAAATGGAAACAACCTCTATGTCCAACAATAAAGGATTAAATGAATTACATGGAGTCACATAATGGAATCTTACCCAATTGCTAAGCACATGGTTTTGAAGAATGTTTAGTTATTGGCAAATACTCAGGAGCTTATAAAATAGTAAGTGGGAAAACAGTTTCATAAAACTGCATACCTGGTTTAATCCAATTTCACTTTATACATATGCCCACACAGAAAAACTCATATGCCCACACACACTGCACAAAGCAAAATCACATGATGTTAACAGTGATTATCTTTGGGGTTACTTCTTTATACTTTACGGTGTTTTCCAAACTTTTGCTAATCACAAAGATGATTTTTATAATCAATTTTGGGATGAATTTTTCTCAAATACTTAAACACTCCCTGTCTACTAAAAATATAATGCAAGCTGCATGTAATTTTAAATTTTTATTAGCCACTTTAAAAAGGTCAAAAGAAACAGGTGAGATCAATTTTTAAAATGTATTTCACCTAACCTGGCACATCCAAATGTTAGCAGTTGAAGGTGTAATTGCTATAAAATTATGATGGCAATAGTTTATACTATTTTTATCATACTAAGTCTCTGAAATCCAGCAGGTGAGAGCAGCCACATTTCAAGTGTTCCCACAGCCCTATCTGGCCGGGGACTTCTGCACTGGACAGCACAGTTCATAAGCACCAATACTCCTGGTAACAACTACCAATTGCTAATGTAACGTAGTAATTAATAGATACCAATTACCAATACTATAATGACTGTGAACATAGCATGTTCACTGTATTTGGTAAATAAGTTATCTAGAGATGATTTTAAATATGCACAGGTTAGATGCAAACACTACACCATTTTATATAAGAGACTTGAGCACCTGTGAATTTTGAAATCTGAAAAAGTCCTGAAACCAATCCCCCTGGATACCAAAGGATGAGTTTATAGGTTTTTTCCCTTGCTTTAGTTACTGAGCTTTTATCCACTATGTTATTGGGTGTCTCCTTTCATAAAGCATCGATCACAGGGTTATGACTAACATAATGTAAGGACATAGTGGAGCATGCATCATTTTCAGATTTACAGGAACATTACTAAGAGAGATCATAAAACACCTCAATAAATTTGAAAGGATTCACATCATAGAAAAAGAATCTAACTAGAAAAAAATAACAGAACACTATCTAGAAACCCCAGAATTTTTGGGAAACTGACCGCACACTTTTCTAGAGCATATGGGTCAAGCAAGAACTCAAAAGTGAAATCTGAAAGCATTTTGAGCTGAACGTAAATTAAAACACAACATATTAAAAGTGTGGATCAGGGCATAGTGATGTACACTGGTAATGCCAGTCTCTCGGGAGACTGAGGCAGCAGAATCATGAGATTTGCCAACCTGGCAAGACAGTGAGACTCCTGTCTCAAAAAACAAGTGTTGATGGGATGCAGATAAAGCTGTACTTAGAGGGAGACATATAGCCTTAACGTATTCTATTAGAAAAGATGGAAAGCCACAAATGTTAAGAGAAAAATACTCTCAATATCATTTGGAACTTCCTCTGATGCCCTTTCAAGTGGTGTGTGGCCCCGTTTGCACCCCCCCCCATTTCAGAGAGCCCTTCCGTATGGGAAGAACCTACTCCATCAGCCTTCCTTTACAAACAAGGCCGATGTTCATTACCTTGGAGCCAGAGGTTGAATACATGATTTTATTTGTTTCATCCACATGAAGGTTCCAGATCTGGGGTTCAGTGGAATTTTTTGAGCCTCCATCCCAAATGGAAAATTTCTCCTGGCCAGAAAGTAAGTTCCACACGCGCAGAGTGTGGTCCTTAGAGGCAGAGATGGCAAGAATCCCTTCTGCAAAAACTTTAACACACCTCACCTCTCCTGCAGCAAAATGTGAAGGGAGGGTCTGTTAGCCAGAAACATTGTGTCCTTATAACTATCAAAGTGCCCGCCAGTTTGTAAATACCCTGCTTTACCAAAGGTGGATGGCTTTGAACCAATCCAAATTGAAATTAATGGATGGCAACTGAACAAAATTAAGAGTGACAAAATGGGTTGGGATTCAATCAATTGTCCCAGATGTTGAATTTGTAATAAGCAGAGACAATTGAATTTTACAAAGGTTCAGCATTCAGAGGCTATTTAAAATTGATAAACATGCTTTAAGAATAGTGTACAATTCTTGAAAGATTATAAGAAATCTCCTGTAATTTTTATAATCTTGGAAAGACACATCCCAAACAAAACATAAAATTTTGAAGAAATAAAAGGAAGAAACTGACCAAATGATTACCTGAATATGTAAAGCTTCAGGAATATACAATGTAGTTGAAAGACACGTGACAGATAGGAAAAAATATTTACAACATAAAACAGACTAATAGACTCTCCTTAATAAAGAATTCTTACAAATAATCAAGAACTAATGCAAATGATCTACTTACAACTTGGACAAAGAAAATAAATAGGATTTTTACAAAAATAGTGCTGGTAAACAATAAACATTTGAAAATCATGTTTGACTTCACAAAAAATGCAAACAAAATACCAATATGTCCTAATCACCTACCATATTGGTAAAAATTCTAAAGATTGATCATCTGAATGTGGCAAACTGATACAAGAAATCAACTAATTCCTCACTTTGCTGATGAAGTAGAAGTTGGTATTACTTTGTATCCATTTGTTTATTCTTGTGGTGCTAAAGATTGAACTCAAGACCTCACACATGTTAGGCAAGGTAGAACCTTTTAAAGTAACATTTCTTTCTTTTTAAAAAAAATACTTACTTTTTAGGTGTAGTTGGACACAATATCCTTATTTTATGTATTTATTTTTATGTGGTGCTGAGGATTGAACCTAGGGCCTCCTCTCACCTGTGACGCGACTGCTCTACCGCTGAGCCCAGCCCCAGCGCCAGTGACGTTTCTTTCTATGAACCCTCACATTAGCCTACTCTTGGCCAATGCCACCTAACACAGGCCTGTTGTAAAATAAAGTGTTGAATGTCACATGTAACGTATTGAATACTGGACTGAAAATGAAAAACAATAGTTTTATGGGTAGGTTCTCATGAGTTTCAACCATCAATGTCAAAAAGTCACAAGTCAAACTAACATAAGCCAGGGACCATCTGTGTATGATGTGGACCGATTTAATGAATCAGAGATCTGTCACCAGATGTCGAATCCCTGAGGCCTTGATCTTGGACTTCCCAGGCTCCAGAATTGTGAGAAATAAATTCCTGTTGTGTCTAAGTTACCCAGACGGTGGCATTTTGTTACAGAAGCCCAAAGAGATGAAGATAATGAGCTTTGGGGAACAATGAGCTATTTTTGCTGCCTTTAAGCGTTCTAAGTGTAAAGATTCCATGGCGTACGGCAGCGTTGTTCATGATCACCAAGGATTGAAACGATGCAGATTGAAGAACGGATGAACAAACTGTGGTCGGTTCTTAGGATGGAGTACTGCTCATCAATATGAAGGGGTAAGTTATCGGGCTGGGGCTGGGGCTCAGTGACAGAGGGCTTGCCTAGCACGGGTGAGGCCCTGGATTCCATCCCCAGCTCAGAAAATAAGAAAAAGTGAAAAAGGCAGGTTGAGATCGTATTCACCTTGGGTTTTTTGCATTCATTTTGATTTTTCACGAATACCATATTAGAAAGGTGTTCACCGTGGAGCTGTGGACAGTGAACGTGTGCCTAGCCTGGGGGAGGAGGCCTGGGTTCCACTCAGATCAGCCCTGCTCCGTCTCCCTTTAGTACCTAGGACAGGGCCTGGTACAAGGGACGTGGGACCAAGCTCAGTCAAGGATTCAGTGAACGAATCGCGTGTGGAAGACACAGGCAGAATGGAACACTCATTTAGGATCTGCTGTGGTTTGCATGTCCCTCTCCCCAAATTTGTCTGTTGGAAACTTAGCCCCAAAGCAATACTGGGACAGGTGGAACCTTCCAAAGGGGATCGGGTCATGGGGGCTCTGATCCTCTAAAGGGTTGGGTCAGTTAGAACACGGGAGGCGGGCTCCCTCTTCCTTTGGCTCTCTGACCACGTGATGCAGTGAGAAGACCCTCATCAGAGGGTCCCTGGGCCTTGGACCCCCCAGCCTCCATAGCCATGAGCTGAATAAACTCCTGCCATTTACAATTTACCCAGTCTGTGGAACCCTGTTATGGCAGCAGAAATGAACCAAGGCAGGCTCTGAGGTGGACACAGAAAGACCACAATTCTTTACCCTCAGTGCTCCAGACCCTTGACGAGGTGACTTTGCAGGTCCTCCTATCAGGAGAGGGAGCCCATGTCCCTACCCCCTGACTCTGGATGGTTCTTGACGGAGCACCACCTCCACGTCTGGAATTTGGATATTGTGAGCTCCATTTTGCTTTCTGGAAACCCTGACTTTGCTAGACCTTGGCTGCAGGAAGGAGGATGAGGCCCACACAGAACAGCGTTGAGCCATCTCGGTTGAGGACACCCTGAACCAGCCAATTGACTGCCAATGCATGAACCAGTCTGGCTGGCACCAGAGGAACTTCCCACAGAGCCCAGTCTGAATTACCGACCCACAGAAGATGAGCTGAAGAAGCAGCGTAACTGTCACTGTGTATTGTGAAGCTTTGTTACGCAGCTCTAGCTGCCTGATGCAGGAAATGAGATCAGCTTTAATACAGAGAAGTGAACCTGTGAGGAGGTTGCTGTGGGACACGAGGAAGATGCTGACCACACCCCACCCTTGCTGAGCCTCACCCGTGTGTCCTGTTAGAATGTGGACCACCTGCTGCTCCTCCATGTCCCACACAGCCACGAGGCCATCCTGGGTGCCGACCACCAACAATTTCTCTTCCAGGCTCCACGCCATGGCGGTGATACCTGCAGCCATGCAAAAGAGACAGTGGTGGCCTCAGTGCCTGTGTCCAGGTGCCCAGCCAGGGGATCCTCTAGAGAGCCCCCACTTCACAGTTAGAAAACCGAGGCACAGACAGATTCAGCCCCTTGTCTACAGTCACATGGGAGGAGGCAGCAGAGCCGGGGTTCTGTAGCTGGGGTTGTCAGGTGCCAGACCAAGGGGCTTGCTGTGACATTTGTGTTGCCGTTGGTAAGAGGAAGGACTAAACCCAGCCTGTCCTTGGTGCTTCTCACCAGGGTGATTCCGTCCCCCAGGGGACAGTGAGTGATGTCTGGAGACATATGGGGATGTCACCACTGGGAACAAAGGTGCTATTGGCATCTGGTGAGTGGGGATCTGCTCGACTCCCTAGGACACAATAGGGTCCCCAAGTCTTGGAGTGCCTTGATGCTCTGTGATGCAGCCAGCGGTGGCTTTTCCCAGGAAGCTTGAACCTGGGCGGATGGAACATCTCCAGGCCCTGATAAAAGTATCTAGGTTCTTGCCCAGGCCTTAAGTTGGAAATATCAAAGCGCTACTCAATAAGACAAGAGCAGAAATGATAATTTCTGTCTCCAGGTCATTCTACTTTATTTAAGTCCCTGTTATTTTGGTCTCTGTCACAACATCTGAACCTGTATCCTGACAAAGGCACAGTCTATCCCACTAAACCAACTTCAGCCTCAGAATCCTCAGCCCAGCACTCTAGTGGCCGCCCCTGAAGGGATTCCTCCACGTGTCCCACTCAGCACCCCAGGATGCCTCTTTTGGAAACAAGGGCCTGGGAAGTGTGACTTTCTCTCCTGGGTCCTGGGGTACAGAAAGAGCCCGGCATCTGACCCCTGAGCTGATAGAGATGTCACAGTGAAAACGAGGAATGGTAGGTGAGCAGATAAAAGGAAGGCGTCGGAGACGGGTGGGTGAGCGGAGCGCTGGTCCGTGGATGAGCCGTGGTGGGTGGAGAGGTGGGGACGGGAGAGGAAGAGTCAGGTCATAGGTGGCCTGCAAGCTGACAAGGGGCAGGGTGTGGCTGGTGGGGGCAGGCCAAGATGGCAGAGGAGGGGTTGGGTGGACAGACAGATGAGCCCGTGGGTAGGAGGGGGGATCAGAGGAAGCAGGGGTGGCTTGGGGAGGGTGGGTGGAAGGGAAGATGGAGGGCAGGTGGGCGGTGGGTGGACAGGAAGGTTGGTGGGGAGATGGGAGGGAGGAAGGATGCATGGACCGATGGAAGAACCAAGGATAATGAGTCAATGACCTGCCCTGGGTCCTCTTCTCCCGTGACCCTCGGGGGCCCCGGGGCCGCCTGCAGTTCTGTTAGCCTCTGGGAGCCACCAGGCACCAATCCCTAGTCCCCAGGCTTCCCAGCACAAGCCTGGGAACTGCAGCCGCTCAGGGCGGTGACACCGGGCTCTCTGGGAGGGGACCTTGGAGGCACCCTCTGGCAGCGGGCTCATTAGCAGCATTTACACCAGTAATCTCCAGCCGCTGGGGACAGAAAGGAGAGGCAGCAGGAGACGGCCAGGGCTGGCGCTGATAGCGCCCACGGGGCTCCTGACTGGCAGCAGGCGCAGCCCCAGCACCTGCCGCTGCTGCCCCGTGGAAGGCAGGGCCCTGGCGGGATTTGCTATGCTGGGGACACTCACCTTTGTGACAGCCCGTGAGGGCTGCCCGCAGGGGTCCCCCGGGGGGCTGGAGGAATCCTGCAAGGGGCACCAGCACAGGATGCGGGCACACTCGGAACCAGCTCTGGGCCTGCTGGCACAGCTGCCCCACGAGCGCGGGGTGGGACGCGGCGAAGAAGTGGAGTCTGGCCAGGAGTTCGGTATACAGGACGCTCCCGTCTGCAAGGGGGGGTGCGGTGGAGGTCGGGTGGGGCCGCCCCTCCAGCCCAGGCCCCGCCCCTCCAGGCCCACCCCATGCTCAGGTTGGACCTCAGTTGCGATTTGCCATTTTCTCTGGGTTTCTTTTTGGTTGTTAATGAACATCCATCCATCCATCCATCCATCCATCCATCCGCGGTGCTGAGACTCGAACCCAGGGCCACACACGTGCTGGGCAAGCGCTGTACCACTGAGCCCCAGCCCAGCCTCTGGGTTTCTTTTGGTCTCCCCACCACCCTAGCCCTCAGCTTCCCAGAACAAAGACGCATCTGCCTTGTCCGTTGCTGTGTTTGAAAAGCCCAGAACAACACAGGCACCCGATCATTTCCCCAGCAAGTCCCAGGGTACGGCACAGTGCTCCTCAACTTACGATGGGGCCTCACCCTTGAAACCCATCGTAAGTTGAAAATGCAAGTGGGAAGCGCCTGGAGCCCACCACGCCCCTGAACACCCCGCTCAGCACACCGTGGGGGCCCCGTTGTCTCCCCTCGGGACCGCGGGGCGGCTATAGCTCAGCATTATGAGAGGATCAAGCCGCTGCTCAATGACTAGAAAAAAAGATTGAGATTCAAAGTGTGAAGTAAGGTGTCTGCGGATGCACGTCAAGATCGCACCACCTAGAATCAAACCAGCACAAGTAGGGGACCGTCTGGAGGCCAGGGGGACCTGTACCAGGCTGGACGACTGAGAACAGCAGCACTGCACCCCCTCACAGCTGCGGGGAGCAGCCTGAGATCAGGGGTTGGCATGGCAACGCCCCCTCCATAGGCTCCAAGGGAGGATCCTTCTTGCCGCTGTCACTGTCTGGTGGCTCCAGGGGCTTCTTGGCTGTAGCTACATAACAGTCACTTGTCCAGTGATTAGCAGGTACATATATCCTTTTCGGGGTGGGCTGATTTTCCTGCCTGCTACACGGAAGTACTATCATTATTATTCCAGATTTATAAAGGGGGAAATTGAGGTACAAAGAGGTTAAGTGACTTGCACAAGGTCACACAGACAGTAAGAGGAAGAAATCTGACCCCTAAGAGTTTGATTCCAATGCCCTTCGTAACAAAGACCAGGTGCTAGGTGGGATATGCCAAGAGTGTGTTACCCAAGGTTTTATGTGTTGAAATTGATCCCGACTGTCAGGTATTAACAGAGAAAACAGAATCTGACCGTGTTGTGTAGAGGTGGGACCTTTGGAAAATGACTTGGATTAAATAATGCCATCAGTGGGAGATGCCATGATTCAAGTGGGAGGAATGCCAAAGAACACATTCCCATTCCCTGTCTCTCCCCATGTGATACTCTGAACCACTTCAGGATTCTGCCAGCAAGAAGGCCATCGACGGGCTGGGGATGTGGCTCAAGCGGTAGCACGCTCGCATGGCATGCGTGCGGCCCGGGTTCGATCCTCAGCACCACATACAAACAAAGATGTTGTGTCCGCCAAAAACTAAAAAATAAATATTAAAAATTCTCTCTCTCTCTTTAAAAAAAAAAAAAAAGGCCATCGACCTTGGACCAGAACTATGAACCAAGACAAACCTCTTTTCTTTATAAAGTGGCCTGTTTCAAGTATTTCATTACAGTAACAACAACACAACAAAGACTAATATACCAGATATGCTGAAGTTAGATTGTTCGTTCTGAGCCTGTTGTTGGCACTTTCTAACCATGGAGCCTGGGAAGATGATAAGAATTCCTTGGGCTTTGGTATGCTGGTGGTTCCATGGGTGGAATGGGGGACAGATCTGGGACCAGAAGTGAATGTGGCATTTACTGCAGATGCAAAATTTAAGGTACAGCCAATCAAATCAACTATCAAGATAATACTGCCTTAATTCATTTAAAAAAAATCAAAATCAATGGTCCTCAAACCTCTGATCCAATAAGATCAGAGCAGGGGCTATACGGGAAATCTCTAACTTCTACTCAATTTTCCTTTAAACCTAAAAATGCTAAATAAATACATAAATAAAGTCTACTGAAACACACACAGGATCATAAGCGACTCTATTGGACCCTGAGGATGGACGGTCTTGGGGTTATTCAGATGGGTATCCCTGTCCCCAGCTTGTGGAGTGTTCAGGGTTGTCCTACAGCGCCCCCTGGTGGTGACAGTTATTCCTACACCTATCGAGGGTGAGCCACAGGTTGTCAAGGGGTTTGCAAAGATCTTGCTGGGATTTGGACTTTTAAATCTTCCCTTGGACTAGGAAGTCACCCCAGGGAGGCTTACAGTTCCTGGGGAGCACCTCTTACATTGTCATTCTTTTTAGACAGTTCCCTGTGCTGTTCCATGGGAGAGAGAAAAAGTGGTAAGTGAGCCGGGACAGCTCTTAAACATTCCTGGACCTCTGAAGGAGCTGGCTCTGCAGCTGGGATGTCAGTACGGGTTGTGCGGTGCAAGAGGCAGGTGTAACCAAGCGCACAGACTGCAGCTTCTGTTTGATTCTGCATTTTTCTGATGATGAGAACCCTGGCCAGGTGCAGCAATGCCTCATCCAAGGTCTTTCACATCAGCAATATTGATGCTCTCCTGTGGCCGTGACAGGACCCTGATGGCACCACAGGGACAGGCTCTGCATGAATGGACTCACATACCCTTCCACAAAGCCCTAGGATTCTCGTTTTGCATATGAGAAAATGGAGGACTGACCAGGAGGTGAATGCAAGGACAGAGAGCACTTCCGAAAGTGGCAGAGCCGAGATTTCAACTGACACCATGGGGTCCGAAATCCACGTTCATGGCCAGGTCTGGCCTATGGGACGGGGTGGAAATGTGGCAAAGGAATGATACCGTTCTCATTAAGCACAGAGGCCGGCATGGCAGACGTGATGCAAAAGAAAACCATTAGCAAGGATAATTACGAGTGAAGACAGGTGTGGTGGTGCACGCCTGTAATCCCAGCTTCTTGGGAGGCTGAGGCAGGAGGATTGCCAGCCTCACAATGTAGCAAAGCCCTCAGCAATTAGCAAGATCCTGTCTCAAAAAAAAAAAAAAAAGAAAAGAAAAGAAAAAGAAAAAGAAAGAAAGAAAAGAGAAAGAGAGGGAGAGAGAGCACAGGAAGACAGATGGAAACAGGGCAGTGGTTGAAAATGCAGCTTGACAGGAGGGTGTCGAGCTGGCAAATCACAAGCAGGACCCCCAGGATGTCATGTGCTATGGCCAGGCTTGGTCATTCCCAGCACCGTCTGGAGAGAAGCAAACAACTCAAGGACTTTCACAGACCAAGATGAACAGCTCTGCAAGGGAGTCCCAGGCCACAGCTCTTCCATCCCCAGGCCACCATGGAGAGGCGCTTTGGATGTGGGGACTTAAACCCCTGTAACCCCCTCCTTCCTCCACACACTCCCTTCACAATTTATCACCCGTTGTTAAATTGGTATATAAGTCCCCGGATCTGGCCACATCATTGGGTTTTTTCCTCTTTTCTGTGAAGTTTTCATGCACATACAGTTAATATTTGTACGTATTTTCTTCTGCTCAGCTTTTGTTAGTTTAATTCCCAGGCCCCCAGGCACTGAATATCCAAGAGTAGACGGAAAGTTGTTCTTGTTTGATGTAAAATGGTACATCCCCTGGGGCTCAGTGGTGGAGCACTCACCTAGCACGTGTGAGGCCCTGGGTTCCATCCTCAGCACCACATAAAAATAAATAAATAAAATAAAGGTAGTGTGTCCATCGATGACTAAAAAAAGTACAGTCCCTGTGAGAAGTGGTGCACAATTCCTCAAAAAGTTAAACAGAATCACCCTAAGATCCAGCAATTCCACTTCTGGGAACAAACTCAAAAGGGTGGAAGGCAGGGTCTCAAAGAGATATTCATGCATTTGTCACTTGACATGTTCAGCCAAGCAACCACCTCGGACAGATGCGTGGATACACAAAATGCAGAGAACACACGATGGGTGTGATTCAACCAGAAAAGGAAGGAAATCCTGACTCAGGCTACCGTGTAGATGAACCCCGAGGACATGCGCTCAGTGATGTCACTCAGGAAGAGGACTAGGCCCTGGCCACACACCGTAGTGTGAGGTGCACCTCGTCTTGGACACTAAGCTGGTCCAGCCGGGCTGGCACTCGGCTGGGAGCAGGAAAGGACAATGCCTGATTCCACTCACGGGAGGGCCCCGGAGTCATCCAAGCCACCCAGACAGGATGTGAAATGGTGGGTGCCCCAGGGCTGGGAGGAGCCTGGGGAGCCCCTGTCTCCTGGAGACGGAGTTTCAGCTTGGGAAGGTGAAAGAGGAGTACAGATGGTGGTGGAGTTGGCCTGACACACGTGTGGACTCCTAACGCCACCAAACCGAACACTTAAAAATGGTTAAGGTGGTGAAATTTGCTACATGTATTTTGCCTATATTTTTTTGATGTTTATTTTTTAGTTGTAGTTGGACACAATACCATTATTCTATTTATTTATCTTTATGTGGTGCTGATGACCCAACCCAGGGCCTCACACGTGCTAGGCATGCGCTCTACCACTGAGCCACAACCTCAGCCCTTGCTATAATTTTTTTTAAAATAGTGTTCAGCGCGTGTGAGGTTCTGGCTTTAATACCACAACACCAAAAATATTAAATTAAATTCAAAATGAAATTTGAAAAACACAAAGAAAACAGCGTCACAGGCAGAGCAACAGGATTTAGAGAGATTCTCCAAGGTCTGGGGAAGGGTCGGAAAAATGCAGCCTGGGGTCCAGACCCAGGCTGAGTCAGCAGTTAACAGTTTTTATAGATCCCTGTGTTGCTATGCAACCGATGACAAGAAACTATGAGCCCCAATAAAGCACAACATTGTCCCCCAAAAAAACCAATTCACGTCTTTTTCATTTTCATAATTTTCTCTGAGTTGATCATTGTCCTTGACGGCTATTATCATATTTTGAATTTCACCAATGAAAAATCTGTGGGGATCTTTTTTCTCTTTTTAAGAACAGACGTGCCAGGCTGGGAACAGACCCCCAGCTGGGCAGCCGGACTCACCCAAGCCTCGCAGCTCCAGGGCAGGGCGGCAGAGCTGGAGGGCCTCTCGGACCAGGCCGACCTCGGGGGAGTCCACGTGAGGGGCACACATGTCAAAGTCATCCAGCAGGCTCTCGATGCCCCCAGAGATGCCGCGGCAGCAGATCCAGCTCATGCTACCTGTGGGGAGACGCGGACAGGGTGGGAAGCACGCAGCTCCCGCCGGCTCCCCGGAGGGGGAGAGGCCCCTCTGCGTCTCTCCCGGAGGCTCTCAAGCTCAGCACCGGGGTCATGCCATGCGTCATTCCTACTTGGCAATGGCTCTCAGCAAGCAGCACTGGCACTGGGGGCTGGACCACCCTCCTGGGTGGTGGACAAGCTGTGCACTGCGGGCTACAGAGCGCAACCCTGGCCTCCACCCCCAGATGCCAGCAGCATCTCTACCCTCAAATGTGACTAATGTAACCCTCAAATGCGTCTCCCGAGGGGCAGAAAGCCCCTGGTTCAGAATCACAGGAATGAACAAGTGAGTGGATGCATGCGGGGACAGACAGGTGGAGATAGAAACACGGATAGATAGGTGGACATGTCTTGGCAGGTGGATGGAGAGATCCACAGAAAGATGGACGGATGGATAGATGGACAGAAAATACAGAGATGGTTGGCTGGCTAGTTGGATGGGATGGAGAGAGAGGGGTAAGCGGATGAGTGGATGGAGCCAGGGATGTGCAGAAAGACGATTCAGAAAGATGGCTGACTGGCTGGAGACAGATGGAGAGATAGAAGACGTTTTTGAGGCGCTGGGGATTAAACTCAGGGCCTCACTCATGCTAGACAGGTGTTCAACTAATGATCTACATCCCCACTGCCAGACAGACAGGCCAAAAAGATGGACGGATAGACATAAAAGAATGGATAGGTGGCCGGGCACAGTGGCGCATGCCTGGAATCCCAGCAGCTCAGGAGGCTGAGGCAGGGGGATCGCAAGTTCAAGGCCAGCCTCAGCATCTTAGTGAGGCCCAAAGCAACTTAGCCAGACTCCGTCTCTAAGTAAAATAAATAAATAAAAAGGGCTGGGGACGTGGCTCAGTGTAAAGCACCTCTGAGTTCAGTACAAAAAGAAGAAATGCTGGTTGGACGGACACATGCACACCTGAGTGGATGGACAGACAGACCAACAAGGTCTCTCATGCTAGGTCATGTTTTCTCACCCTCCGCCTATCAGCGCTGCGAGCAGCTCATCCTCTGTGGTGGGGGTGTCCTGTGCACTGCGCAGTGTGGAGGGGCAGCCCCGGGTCACTAGGTTTGAGCAGCACCCCGACACACAGACACATGTGACAACTGTGGACCTCTGCAGACACGTTGGGGACCCCAGAGTGCAGAAGCCCCCTGCTGGAGAACCTCTGCAGGGTCTCTACCCTGCCCTCTGCCCCTCCCAGAAGGCAGGCGCGTGGCGGAGCAGCGGGGTCCCCCGGCCTTACCCAGCACCTCCTGCTTCAGCTCCTCCAGGCGCCCCGAGTGCAGCAGGTGGTGGGGCAGCTCCTTCAGCTTCCGCTGGTTTGCCACCATGTCCGAGAACCACAGGGGCTGCGGGGCCACCTGGCGGGGGAGAAGAGAGGCTGGCAGCTGGCGCCTGGGTGCAAGGTCACTCATTCACTCCACAAACACGGGCCAGGACAGGCACCAGACGGTGCTAGGGCGGGGGCACAGAGGTAGCCCACAGCCCCCCACAAACAGGGCTGGGGCAAAGGGAGGGACCTGGGCTCAGCAATCCAAACCCCAGGGAGGCAGCTCTTCCTGAGAGAATAAGGTTTCCTGAAGATGCGGGCGGCAGACCTGGGCCTGCCAAATGGGCGGGAAAACAATGGCATTGCTGGGAGCCACGGCCCAGGCCAGCAGACTGGGGAGGGAGGAAACCTTGGAAGGCTCCCTGGAGGAAGAGGTATTTGGACTGAGCCTTGCGATGGCGGAGAAGCAAAAACAGGGCGTGGCATCCATGCTAAGGATGCCCAGGCTCCTGCTCCGGACATAAGGGAGAAGACCAGAGGAAATGCACAGAGGAACGGCCACGGGCAGGTCTTCCCAGGTGTGGGCATGGGGCAGTTTGTATTCTCCACTTCGAGAGTCTCTGTGCTTCACATAATTGCAGGGTACTCTTGTCACTAGAAAAATCACATAAGCATTATTTTTTAAAGTTTCTGATACACTTAGGAACCTCATGACTGGAAATAAGATTGTACCATGGAATTCACAGAGGAAAATATCCAGTGCCCAAGAAACAGATGGACAGACAGACAGAAAAATAGCTGTAGTGGTCCCTCGTGTCCATGGGAGATTGGCTCCAGGACCCCATGGACACCACAATCCAAGGATACCCAAGTCCCTTACAGAAAATGGCAGAGAACCTACTCATCCTCATAGACTAAGTCATCTCTAGACGACGTAGAACACTGGGTGCGAATGCCACGTACACAGTTGTCACTCTGAATTGCTCAGGGAATAGTGACAAGAATATGAAGTCTGCAGTCCACATGGTCAATACAGGTGCCTTTTTTTTTCCCCACAGTACTGGAAATTGAGGCCAGAATCGCTCTACCTCTGAGCTACTTCCTCAACCCTTCTTTTTAAATGATTTATTTCGAAGCTGGGTGTGGTGGCACAGGCCTGTAATCCCAGTGGCTTGAGAGGCAGAGGCAGGAGGATTGCAAGTTCAAAGCCTGGCACCAAAAATAAATAAGTAAATGACATATTTGGAGACAGGGCCTTGCTAAGTGGCCCAGGAGGGACCAGATGCAATTTTTATTTTCAAATATGTTTAAACTGTGATCGGTCGAACCTACAGACGGAGAACCAGGCTGCGGATTGAGGGCGGGGAGAACTGTTAGGCTTCACGAGGACTCAGTCCCAGGGGGTGAGTGTAAACCCTGAGATGCCAGGACTTGGGCAGTATTAAATGTGGCGGTTCCCCCTTTGGAAAGTTGGGCTGGGTCATTTCTCCCTCATCCGCTGCTCCCCAAATTATGGAGGAGGCAGCTCGTATGGTGAGGGAGGAGAGGACGTCGGGATGGCCTGAGAGTGGGAAGGATGGGGAGGAGGAGGCGAGCCCACCAGGCATGGCCAGGCAGTGGGGAGCAGGCCTGTCACCTCACCTTGCGGTCCAGGTTCAGGGGCTTCCCCACAAGCGGCAGGCTGATGAGCTTCTTGGTGCCCTGGCTCCAGGCCCCTGAGAAGAAGTCGGCCAGGACGCGGTGCCTCTTGGCTTTCTCAGGCCCAGACAGGTAGCGCACCCAGACCACCTCAGCCAGCTGTCTGCAGGGAGGGACACAGGCTGACGGCCCCGAGGGCACAGCAGGCTCAGAGGCAGCCACCAGTCTTCCAGGAGCCGCTTCCAAACGCCAGTCCGTCCCACTCCACCCTTGGGGGCGGGCAGTGTCTGCTGACTGCCTGCCAGATGCCTTGCTCAGTGCGTATCTGTAAATGGGCCATCTTGTTTTCCCTTAAATAAATGTACTTTTAAAAGAAGCCTCAGGGTACTTCAATAAGTTAAAAATAAAATAATAAATCATCACATGACCCAACAGGCCCACTTGGGTATGGACCCCAAAGAACCCCAAACCAGGTTCAGACAGAAACTTGAACAGCAGGCACAGTGGCACCTGTCTATGGTCCCAGCCACTTGGGAGGCTGGGGCAGGAGGATCGTTTGAGTCCAGGAGTTCAAGGTCAGGACAGCCTGGGCAACATGACGAGACTCTGTCTCAAAAACGTAAAAGAAAAGAAGACAAACACACATGTTCCTTAAGCACTACCTGCGATAGTTAAAAAGTGGAAAGAAACCGCTGTCCATCAGCAGGAGGCCGGGTTGACAGGGGTGGTGCAGCCACACAGGGAACATCAAAAAAGGAGGAAGCGCTGACACAGCCCACAGCGTGGATGAGCTTTGAAAACATGACGCTGAGTGACAGAAGCCAGGCACAGTGTGTGACTCCATGGACATGAGATGTCCAGAACAGGTGGATCCAGAAGGACAGAGCGCAGACCACTGGCTGCCAGGGGCTGAGGGGGCAGTGGGAGTGACTGCGGGTGGGGACGGGGTCACCTTTTTTTCCCCCCTTTGGTGAGGAGATTGAACCCAGAGGCCCTCTCCCATATCCCACATCCCCCAAATTTTTATTTTTTGTTGAGAGACAGGGTCTCACTGAGTTGCTTAGGGCCTTGCAGTTGCTGAGGCTGGTTTTGAACTCACAATCTTCCTGCCTCAGCCTCCCGAGGGCTCTGGGGGTCTCCTTCTGGTGTGACGGAAATAATCCAGAAGGACATGGAAGCGATGGCTGGCAGCACAGGGAGTGCACAAAACACCTCTGAATCGTGCCTTTTAAAAGGTGAATTGAATGTTCTGTGGGTCTCATCTCAGTTTAAAAAACGAGGGGCTGGGGGCACAGCTCAGAGGTAGAGCACTTGCCTGACATGCTGGAGGCCCGGCTTCCATCCCCAGCACTTTACCAACCACAAAATAAAAGAGGAGGGGGAGGGGGGGAGGAGGAGGAGGAGGAGGAGGAGGAGGAGGAGGAGGAGGAGGAGGAGGAGGAGGAGGAGGGCAGCAGCAGGAGGTTAGTATGTTAGAGGCCCTGGGGTGGAGGCCTGGAATTCTGAGCCAATTCCCTGGGAGTGGGAGGTCAAGAAGGAGCTGGTCATTGAGTCCTGTTTTCGGGGTCCCAACCAGACAGTGTCACCACGGCTGCCGCACTGGACCTACCTGTGGGCGATGGCCAGGAGCGTGAGGCCGTCCGCGGGTCTCCAGGCCAGGCAGTGGCCCAGGTCCCGACGAAGCCGCACCCACAGCAGGGGCGGGAAGCGCAGCAGCTCCTTGCTGGGGGGGGTCCAGTCCCGGTACACCACCTGCAGCACCTCGTCGTCCAAGGACAAGACGTCTTTCAGCTCTGCCTCCGAGAGACCGTGCCTGTGGGGAGGCCAGACGGGCTTGGATCACCTGGGACTTCTGCACCGAGGACGCAAAGTCAGGAGAGGGAGACAGGCACCCCAGCTGGGCGCCCCCACAGGCCCGGGATCAGCATTTGGGAGCGTCCGGCAGGCACAAGGCCCCCTGGGCTGACCCACCTAGTAATGCGTTTTCTGATCTTCTCTCCGTGCACATCTGCGGAGCGTGGACCATCTGCACCCTGGTCGGGGCAGCCTGAGACCCAGCCCAGGGAGGGAGGAAGCGGTAACTCAGGAATTAACGCAGGAAACAACTGCTCCCATTCCAACCCACCCTGGTCTTTCCTGGCCTAAGAAAAGGCCAGTGTCACCGTTTGGATCTGGAATGTCCTCTAAAGTGTCCATGTTGAAGGCTTGCATCCTAGGGGGCCTTGGGGGCAACGACTAGCTTGTGGGAGCTCTGGCCTCATCCGTGGACTAACCCACTGATGGATTCCTACTTTGGTGGCGTTACTGGGAGGTGGTGCTTAGTAGGAGGACGAGGTCACCAGGGCTGTACCCTGGAAGGCACATCCTGTCCCCACCGTTCCTCGGTCTCTGCTTCTTGACCATCACTACACCCTTCCGCCCTCACCTCAGGGCCAAAGCAACAGAGCCAGCGGACCCCACACCGGAGCCGCTGGGACCAGGAGCCAACCTTCCCTCCTCCACGATGTCACGTGATGAAGGCTAACTGATCCACCGAGTTAGAGGCAGGGCCATCTTTAAGTGGGCTGAGAAGATAAGTTCGGGGGCTAGGACTAGAGCAGGTTGTTCCAAGTGACAGACGGGAGCGACTGCAGGATCTGCCAGAAGTTTCATCAGAGATGGAAACAATCGAATGGAGGTCATTTCGGAGCAGGGGACGGGAGTTTTTGCACCACAGGGTGTGGGGATCGTCCACTAAGGGTCAGCACATTGGTTCAACAACCATTGATGGAGCATCAGCTGTGCTGGAGGCACTGATCTCCCGGGGACAGAGAATTAGACACTTGTGGTAACCCATTTTCTGTGGCCAATAACGTGACACCACAGACTGAGTACCTTGTTTAAAAAAAAAAAAAAAAAAAAGCCCATATCTGTCATCCCAGAGACTCTGGAGGCTGAGGCAGGAGGATTGCAAGTTCAAAGCCAGCCTCAGCAACTAAGAGAGCCCTTAGCAACTTAGTGAGACCCTGTATCAAAATAAAATATAAAGGGCTGGGGATGTTGCATAGTGGTTAAGCGCCCTGGGTTCCATCCCCAGTATCAAAAAAAAAAAAAAAAAAAAAGAGAGAGGCTTGTCTTGGCTCATGGTTCTTGTCCAAGGTCAAAGGGCCACCTCCTGGGATGGTTTTGTTTTGTTTTTGTGGTTCTGAAGATTGAACCCAGGGACACTCTACCATTGAGCTACATCCCCAGCCCTTTTAATTGTAAGAAAGGGTCTTGCTAAGTCACGGAGACTGGCCTCCACCTCCTGAGAAGCTGGGATTAAAGGTGGGCACCACTGTGCCCAGTTGGTGATGGCCTTCCTGATGGCAGAGCCCTGAGAGGCTGGAGACAGGGGGTGTGCCTGCTGGTCCCCTTCTCTCTCCTACGAAGGCATGTTCCCTTGGAGGCCCCACCCTGACGACCTGGCTGATCCTAATCACCTCCCAAAGGCCCACTCCGAACACCAGAGTCAGGCTAAACTTCCAGTCTTCCAATTCTGCACGACGGGATTAATTTCAATACGGGAATCCTCGGGGACACGCCAGCCGTATCCACATTAGAGCAGATCCTGCCTTAGTCTCTCTGGGCTGTAGCAGAAACACTGTAGACTTGGGGCCTAAACCACAAACACTCTTTCTCATAGTTCTGGAAGCTGGCAAGGCCAAGACCAAGATGCCGCAGATCTGGTGTCTGGTAAGGACCGGCTTTTGGCTCATGAATGACATCTTTTTGCTGTGTCCTCACACGGCAGAAGGAGCCAGGAGCTCTCTGGGGCCTCTGCATAAAAGCACTAATCCAGTTCCTGACCTGGTCACCTCTCAAAGGCTCCACCTCCTAATCCCATGCCCTGAGGGTAGAACTCCACTGGTGAATTTGGGGGAGACCCAGACATTCAGACCATGCAGCATCCCGGGGTGCAGGGAGCCAGGCGGGAAACACACCAGGCAGCCGGGCACTGTGGCCATTCCTGTCGTCCTAGGTACTGAGGAGGCTGGGGCAGGAGGATCAGAGGTTTGAAGCCATCGTGGGAAACTTAGTGAGACCCTGTCTCAAAAGAAAGTGTCAAAAAAGGGGCTGAGGGCAGAGCATTTGCTGAGCATACACCAAGCCCCGCGTCCAATCTCCAGCAGCACAAAATCAAAAAGAAACCAACCAGCAAAACTATAAAGAGCTTGAGTAGCTCCAGGCACCAGGAGGAGGACGTGCCGAGCCCAGTGAGCGACAGGCAAGGGGACAGGGGCCACGCTCCTGAGCAAAGGGACCCAGCCGGGCTGGGGTGGGAGGGAGGAGGGCAGGAGCAGGTCTCAGGTCACAGCGCTCCAGGCCAGGGACAAGGTGGCAGAGCTGCAGGACCTTAGGAAGGAAGGAGCTTAGATCCTTTTCTAAAAGTACCCTGAGGTCCCCGTGTGCTTCTCCAGGGCAGAAGCTCCATCTGGGTGGTTTGAAGTTTTTATTTTTAAGTGGTCAAGTCAAAACGTGCGCATGCGCATTCCCAGCAGCTGGCTGACTGCAGCCTTAAAGTGGGAGGGACCCAGCTGTTGCTGGGTATTAACAAGGAATCACAGATGAAGGGTGAACAGGCACCCACGGTGGGTTTCAGCCACGAAAAGATGCGGGCTACTACCTGGGTGAACCTGGAAAACGTGATGCTGAGTGACAGAAGCCAGAGGCCCAAGGCCACCCGGCATATGATTCCGTTTGTGTGAAATGTCCAGAGCAGGATCCAGACCCAGGACGCAGATCAGGGACTGGAGATATGGAAAAGCAGAGTGATTACCCAATTGGCGTGGACTTTGTCCTTTTGGGGATGGAATGTTCTGGATCTAGATGGAGGTGGCAGTTGCAGGACACCGAATGTGCTCAGAGTCACTGAGGTGTTCACTCTCTAATGGTTGATTTTCAGTTATGTGAATTTTTCTTTAATTACAAAAAAATTAAAAACCAACTTCCCCTCCTGCTAAATGCAATGAGGATCCCTGCGTCAGCTCCCTGGACTGGACTGGGACCCAGGCTCCAAACTCAGCAGGGCAGGGAATGCGCAAGGCTGAGCCTGGCCCCGGACTCCCTGCAGCTGCCCTAGGGGGGTGTGCACCCCCACATCCCTGGCCCCTTCCCAGGGGAGGGAGCAGGGCACCAGGGGAGGGCGTGCCCTGAGCACAGCTTTCCTCAGCTCTGCGTGTTGACACTGGGGGCCAGATCACTCTTCAAGGTGGACGTCCTGTGGGCACCATAGGAAGCTTCTGCGTGCCTGGCCTCCCCCACCAGGTGCCAGTAGCATGGTAGATAGACAGGAAAATAGATAGACAGACAGGGAGATAGATAGATATATGGATTGACAGACAGGAAGATAGCATGGTCTACATTTGGGATCTTAAATGTTCCCCCAAGACCCACGTGTTAAAGGCTGATGCTTTGGGAAGTGGTGGAACTCTAGAGGAGGGGCCGATGGGAGGTCCTGGAGTCGCCTGGGCATACGCAGCCCTTCACTCGCCTTCTCCTCCCCGCCGTGAGGTGAGCAGCTGTGCTCTGCCGCGTGGGCTGCCTCACCCCAGGCCCAAAGCAACAAGCCGACTGGTCGTGGACTAGACTTCCAACGCCGTAAGCCCAAATAAACCTTTCTTCTTCTGTCTTCCATCTTTGAGCACCTCAGGTATTTTGTTACAGTGATGAAAAGCCAACTGACACAGATATATGGAGACTCGGATAAATACAGACAGATAGAATTGCTAGAAAGACTGACAGATGGTCTCTAACATGGTCACTCATGGGTCCTCACTCTCTATACTGACAACATTTGGAATGGATCTTTCTCTGTGGTGGGGCTGTCCTGTGGATCATAGGATATTTAGCAACATTGCCGGCCTCCACCCACCATGTACCAGGAGTATGATAGACAGACAGGCAGATGGACAGATGGATAGACTGATAGATGGAAGGATGGATGATCAGACAGATGGATAGATGAATAGATAATAGAAATAGAGATCATAGATGGATAAATAGACAGAGATGGGATACACACACACACACACTTATAATACATATACAGATTCTCTGCTGCAGGGCGTGTTCCAGAACACTGTAGAATGCCGACCAGCATCCCTGGCCTCCTCCTCAAGACTCCGGAGCACCTCCTCCTCTGGGCATGCAGGACAACTGGAAATGTCTGCACTTTCCCTCGGGTGAGAACCTGTGGTTTGGAGCTACCTCGCATCTGCCTGTGAGCCTCAACCATCCTGCCACACCAACCTCGAGTGAAAACATGGCACTTTCAGGGAACTGCAGCTACCCAAATCATCTCCCTGACAGTCAGTCGCCTTTCATATATCACCTCCCACCAGCCCTGGGAGGGGGGATCCTACCCCCCATGAAATGCCCAGCTTTCCTGACTGGACCAGTCATGGGGCTAAAAAGGCCAACTGATTTCTGTCCCCCTTGGATTTTGGCATTAGGATGCAAAAATCAAGCCAGTGAGATGATGTCAGGTCCTTGAAATATGAGCTTATGCAGCCACCTGAAGCTCAAGGCAAGTGGAAGTTCCAAGGGAGAGAAAGGAAGATTCTAGAAGAGGAGCCAATGTCCACAGAGGACCCCAAGGGTGAATGGGCAAGAAATTAATACTCATGACTTTCTGGCTTCCATGGGAGCCCTGCTTCCTCTGGGTAGAGTCACCAGCGTGGCCTGAGGGGCACCCTCTACCTGGGAACGTTCCCGGTCTTGTCCTCTTGTAGAGTTCAGTGCAGCCACGACATCTCCCCCGACATGAAATCTGGTGTAGCCCTGGGATCAGCTGCAGGTGGCTTTGGATCCCCCCACCTTCCTCTTGGAATAAAGCCCTTCGTTCTCAACACTGGCACGTTCTGGTGAACAAACAAAAAGACCCCCACCGTATGGAGGAACTGTGGCAATGAAGAAAGATCAAAGACTGAGCGAGAGAAAACTGCCCAAGGAACGAGCGGAGCCACGCGGTCCAGGCGGTGCACTTGGACGTCTGGCCGGCCAGCCCAGCCCAGCAGCTTTGTTGCTCAGTGTCTCTGATGACTGGCCTGACCCGGCCTCCAGGGGACGAGCTGGGTGCCCGGGTGCTTGTGAGGAGCACCCTCCCCTCCGCAGCTCCTCGCCTGTGACCCCCGCCTACACCTGGGCTCTTGGAGCAGGGTGACCCAGGGAGCTGCTGGGAGCCACAGCCCTGAGCACCTCATGGGCAGAGCCACCATCTAAACAGTCCTTCACACAACGTGGCGATTTGACACGTGTGTGCTTTGGGTCATGGTCACCACAACTAAATTACAACCAGTGTGTGTGTGTGTGTGTGTGTGTGTGTGAGAGAGAGAGAGAGAGAGAGACTGACTTAAGTTCTGCTCTCAGCAAATTTCAAGTCAACAGCACAGTGTCATTGACTGCAGTCACCATGCTAACATCACAACATCAGATTCTCGTTCTCAGATGTGAGTCTCTCTTTTTCAATTGAACACAGAGGCGCTGTACCACTGAGTCACAGCCCATCCCTTTTTAGCACAGTTGCAGAGGCTGGCCTCAAACTTGAAATCCTCCTGCCTCAGCCTCCCCAGGAAATGGGATGACAGGCAGGCACCACCACAGCTAGTCTGATCCATCTTATGTCAGAAAGTTGACACCCTCTGACCAACATCTCATTATCCACCCACGCCCACCCCGGCCAAGCCCCTGGCACCCACCACTCTTCTCTCTGCTTCTTTAAGCTTGTTTTTTTTTTTTTCTTTCTCTGACTCTATAAACACATTGGGATTGGACTTTCCTTTTTGCCTGTGGTTGGTTCCGATGCTACGAGCCTGGAATTAAACTTAGACACCTCCTTGTGGTCGAGTCTTTGGAAAAGTGTGCTTTAAAAGTTTTTTTTCTGAAACCTCTCTGTGTACGTCTGCTTCATTACAGAGGGGGACATTGCAAAGTCTCAGCAGGAAAACCAACCAACCAACCCTCCCAAGAAAGGCTGAGCCTCACCCAGGTTTGGCTGGAGGTGTCCCCATCAGGCCGCCCGGGAGGCTCACGCCACAGGCTCCCAGCGGAGGTGTGATCCTGGGTTTGCAGCGTGGCCAGAGAGCTCGGGAGAAACAGCTTCCCGGGATCAGAGTCTAATTCAATGGCAGACCCCGGGAGGGCGGAAGGCTGACTGCAAATAACAGGCCTGGACTCTTCAAGCAAAGACAGAGGAAGAATGTTCCGGAATAGAGGCTTCAGCAGACTGAACGTTGGTCTCCTCTAAATCCCATGTTGAAATGCTAACCCAGCAGGAATGAGACTGGAGCCTGGTAGAAAAGACCCCGAGCTCTCTCCCGCCTTTCTGCCACGTGAGGACACAGGAAGTCAGGGCCCTCACCAGAGCCCGGCCATGCTGGTGGCCCGCCTCAGACTTCCAGCCTCTAGAACAGGGAAAAATGCAACCGTCCCTCAGGACCCACAGTGACGGGTGTCCAGACCCCCAAGACACCAAAATACGCAGGTGCCCAAGCCCCTTCTAGAACAGGGCACAGTGTTTCCACAGCCCTCTGTCATCTCCCTCAGTGACTTAGGAAACCTGAGGCCAATGTGCTGTGCTCAGCTGCCACACTGGCCAGGACGTCACAGCAGGACAAGGTCCCCACACAGTTGGCGCAGACACGTCCTTCTGAACACCTGCGGCCGGCGGAAACCAGAGACACGGAACCCGCAGCACAGAGATCTGGCGGTTCCTTTGTTAGGACAGGCCACTCAGTCTGTGACACTTCAGTACAGCAGCCTGAACAAACCAAAGGAGAGAACAAAGAGTCCCAACACCTAAATGGGATTCTGGGTCAGGGTGGGAGAGGGACAGCAATGAAGGACTTTATGGGGACCCTTGGCAAATTTGGATTGTGAAGTGCGTACTGAACATCATCGTGTCCACATTGATTTCTTAACTTCAGAATTGTCCTGTGGCAATGTGAGATTCTGACTGCTTTTGTTCTTGGGAATTGGGTGAATCATTCAGGAGGAAAACATTCAGGGAAAATTACATATGAGTGACAGACCGCAGACAGATGATAGATGACAGGAGGATGCTAGAAAGATTAACAGATTGATACAGGATGGAAAGATGACAGATAGATAGATAGTTAGAGGAGGGAAAGATAGAGCTTATGTAGCAAATTGATGCAAACAGGTGATTCTGGGGGACTGTTCTTGACCAAGGCCTATTCTGCCTATGAGGACACTTGCCAATGTGCTAAGATACTTTGGGGTGTCACAGGATGTGGTCTCACCAGCACCTGGGAGCTTTCTCAGTAAATGCAAAGCACAGGGGAGCCTCCCCTACAAAGAATGGGGGCTCCGTGTCAGCAGCACCGAGGCTGAGAAACCAGGTGTCTAGGAATTCTTCACGCTGTTCTTGTCATCATCGATAAATCTCAAGTTATTTTAAAGTAAAAATTTTACAAAATAAATTCTATAGGCAAATCCATGGAGACAGGAAGATGAGTGCTGACAAGGACTGGGGAAGGGACACGGGGAGTGACTGCTAACAGGAACAGGGTGTCTTTTGTGAGTGATGGAAATGTTTTGGTGACATTTGCATAGCATGGGGAATGCGTTAAAAACCACTGAACTGTATTCAATTTCCTGAGTCCAAAGGTACAGCTCGGGAGGAGGATGAGTCCTGAAGTACTGCTCCCCAGCAGGATGAGAACTCTTAACAATATCAGAACAGCTACGAGAGAGGATTTTGAATGTTCTCACCACGAAGAAATGATCAACGTTCGAGATGATGGCTAGCCTAAGTATTCTGAGTTGGTCATTATACAGGTAGTGAAAGGTCACACTGAGACCAAAAATGGGTGCAATGATTGCCTGTCAATTACAAAATTAATTAAATTTGGGGGGTTACTGGGGGATTGAACCCAGAAGCGTCCTACCACTGAGCTATATCCCCAGTCCCCCAGCCCTGTTTGTACATTTTATCTTGAGACAGGGTCTCACTCAGTTGCTGAGGCTGGCCTTGAACTTGTGATCTTCCCACATCAGTCTCCCAAGTTGCTAGGTTGCAGGCGTGCCCACCACCCTTGGCTAGAAATCAATTACAAATTTTAAAGATTTTTAAAAGAAATAATTTACATTATGTGAATTGTACTGGGCTGAAGAGTGTCCCCCCAGGATCTGTGCCCACCAAAGCCTGGGAATGCGAGCTGACTTAAAAAGCCTCGCTGCCTCTTTGGAGGTAACCAAGACAAAACAACACTGTGCTGAACCAGGGTGGGCCTTAACCCAGGGCGTGGTGTCCCCCCAGGGAGAAGGAGGCTGTGTGGACAGAGACAGAGACTGGAGCGTCCCACCCACAGGTGAGGGATGCCAGGCTCGGCTGCATCACCAGAATCAGGGAAGAAGGCATCCGGCAGGCCCACCCCAGAGCCCCTGGAGGGAGCACGGCCCTGCCCACATGGACTTCCGGCCTCCAGAACCGTGGGAGAATGACTCCATCATGCTAAGCCCCCCAGCTGCGACTTCTACAGCAGCCCAAGAAACCAATGATGAATTAGATCTCGATTTTAAAAAGAGCTGAAGGGCTGGGGTGCAGCTCTGGGGCATGCTGAGCCCGCCCAAGGCCCTGGGGTCCAGCCCAGCCCACCACGACCCCGACGACTCATAACAAGACAATAAAGCCACACGACTGGGCCTTACCGGGAAGACACGATGTAACCCAGCACGTGGGCCACCAGGAGCTGCCCGTGCGTCTGCTCCAGGCGGGCACAGAGCTGGTGTGTCGCCTCCTCGGCGGTGGAGGCCAAGGGCGCGGGCACGGTGAAGGAGGCCCATTTCCGGGCCTCCTCAAAAGCCAGCCTCAGCCGCCCTGGGTGACCGCAGTCTGGAAGGCTGGCCCAGAGCAGGTCCCGCTGCGTGGGGCTCAGGGTCCTCCTTGCTGCCACCAACAGGAGCTGGATCATTTCTTGTCCTTGGTTCCCAGAGAGGGGCCTCACCTCCCAGTAGGCCTCGGGGTCCGAGACCGTCCGCCGCACGGTGTCCAGAGCCCCCCGCTGCCCCGAGCAAGCTGAGAGGATGAGGTGCACCTTCGGGGGACACCTGAGAGGCAGCCAGGGGATCCTCCGGGAGCCTCGGACAGAGTCCAGGTCGTCCACGGAGTCCAGCAGCAGCACCAGGGACTCGAAGTTCCTGCGGGAGACGGTGTGGAGGAGGCCGCGCAGGAGCTGGGCCACCCTGGCCTGGGCCTCCAGGACCTGGGGGGGCGGCGGGGGCAGCCCGAAGGCCAGGCACACTTGGAAGCAGAGGCTCTTCAGGAGGCTGCGGGCGTCAGAGCTCATCTGCGACGTCCCCAGCAGCCGCAGGACCGTCACCGTCTTGGGGCCGAGCAGCCCGGGCATCTGCTCAGCCAACTTGCACATCAGGGCAGACTTCCCGACGCCCGGGGGGCCGAAGAGGACCACGGGGCCGTGGGGCTGGCTGTCGTCTCGTCTGAGCCGCTGCCCGAGCTGAGCCAGCAGCTCCCGGCGGCCACAGAAGGTCCCGGTGGCCTCTGCGCTCTGCCAGAGGTGGTGGCGGATCTCCTGGTAGAGCCAGGCCAGGTCCTGCCTGGCCAGCTGCAGCTCCCGGAGATGCTCGAGGACCTGGTGGTCAGCCCTGGCCACAAACTGCTCTCCCAGCTCCCGGAGGTAGCGGGCGTGAGCCTTGTTCTTGGGGTTCACCAGGTCTCGGCTCCACGGCAGGCGGTGGGTCTTGAGGACCCCGGGGTGTGTGTCAGTGATGCGCCCCTTGAGGTCCCTCAGAAGGTTCTGGGCGTCAGTATCCAGGCAGCCGTCTGCGAGCCGGTCCACCATCTTGAGGGTGCCGTCCTCCAGGATGTGCTTGTTGAGGTCCTGGATCTCTCGAAGGAAGACAGTGGCGCCCTGCTCCCCGGCCGCTGAGCCCAGCAGGCCCCGCTCCATCTCCCACTCGATGACTGCAAAGCAGAGGGGTAGAAAGGCTGGTCAGCAGGGGGTCCCTGGGTCCCGGGTTCAAGTTCAGCATGTGGTGGAACTACCGGGCACCTTCCCAAAACCCGCAGGGCTGGACCCACCTCCAGAAGTTCTGATTCAGAACTCACGGGGGCCTGTGAGTCTGCACGTCCAACAAGCCTACGGGGACCGCCGGTCCAGGACCAGCACCACTTTAGCCACCATTATTAATCAATTGACCTCTGCAGCAGGCAGCTCATGTGGAAAAGCAGCCCATCATCAAATAATACAAAAGTCAGCCCCGAGTTCCCACAGCACCCAGCTATCCAGCAGTTCCACTCCTAGAATTCTGCCCCGAACTGAAAACAGATATTCAACAAACACTCGAACACCCTCAATCACAGCAGCCCAAAGGTGAAGACAGTCTAAACGTACAGCATTGGATAAAGTGATGAACAAAATGTGGTTCAGCCAGACAGTGGAATATTGTACAGCCACGAAAAGGGGTGAGGCACTGACACCTGCTGCAAGGCAAAGGAACCTCAGAAATGTCATGCCAGACGCAGAGGCCACAGGGTGTGTGGTCCCTCTGAAGTCCAGGGTCCAGACCTGGCAGACCCATAGAGCCAGAAAGTGGATCAGTGGCTGCCAAGCACAGGGAGAGGGTAGTGGGGAGTGACTGCTAGAGGGGATGGGGTCTCCTTTCAGGGGGATGAAAATATTCTGGCTGCACAACATTGTGAATGTACCTAATGCCACCAAATCGTTCCCTTTCCAAAGGTGTATGCTGTGCTATGTGAACTCAGTTCAATTAAAAAAAAAAAAAATCCAGTGTGTCTATTTCAGGTGCCTCCTTCACATATTCGATCAACAAGCATTGATTGTGCTTCTACTTGTGCCGGCTTCTGCTCTCCACACTGGGAACACAGGTCCCTGCCCTGGCAGAGTGGACATTCCTGTCTAAATGAATAAATGGCAGCATAAACGGACAGACAGCTGGTGGAGAAACAGCTGGTCTTTCCCAACTGAGAAGGACAAGTGGGTATTTGAAGCTACAGGAAAAATGTGTGTGTGTGTGTGTGTGTGTGCGCGCGCGCATGTGTGCATCTGCAAAAGCTGGGAAGCTGGGAGTTTTTAATGAGACTGGCTTCCGTGGGGAGACAGCAGTTCATTCTGTCCTAAGAGCAAGGATCAGTGCCTTTAAGCATAAAGGGCCAGAGAGTAAGTGTCCGAGGCCCTCACAGGCCGGGCGGTCTCGGTCACCACGGCAGACCCAGCTGCCAGGGCACGAGTGCAAACAGGCAGCGTGCGGACGAAAGCACCTGGGCACGTGCCAGCAAAGCTGCATTGACAAAATCAGGCAGCTGACGGAGCTGGCCGCAGCCCAGGCTGGCCGACCCCTGCCCCATGGCCTGCAGCCGCTGCCCCAGGACCCACATTTTCCAGGACCAGGGCCCACCCTGACTCTCCTTGGAGGCTGTTGTTTTGAAGGAGTCCGACGGGAGGAGTTATTTTTGAAGCTGCTCTGGGCTCAGCGGAGGCTCCCAGTTCTCTGCTGCTGAAGGCCCCGGGCCCTGGGGACCGACTAAGGCAAGTCAGAGTTAAGAGCCGCAGGCAGGGGTCGGGGCTCAGGGGTGGAGCCTCGCCCAGCTCGTGGAGCACTGGGCTTGATTCTCAGGACCCCATGAAATAAATAAGTAAATAAAATAAAGTCAACGTGCCCATCTACAACTAAAAAAAATATTTTAAAAAAGTTAGGAGCCACCCAAAAGTTCTCCTTGGCCAGATGTGGTGCACACCTGATTTCCCAGCTACCTGGGAGGCTGAGGCAGAAGTCTGAGATCAGCCTCAGCAACTTGGTGAGACCCTATCTTGAAATAATTTTTTTAAAGGGGGGCTGGTGTTGTGGCTCAGTGGTTAAGAACCCCTGGGTTCGCTCCTCAGGACCAAAAAAAAAAAAGTAGAAAAAGAAAAGGGAGAAGGCTGGGAATATAGCTGAACCTCCCCACCACCACTGCCGGGTTCAATCCCCAATTACACACATACACACATACACACACACACACACAATCCTCCTTTGAGAGCCCTCACGACCCCTTGGCCTCAAGGGAGGAAGGTAGGGATGAAGGCAACTACACTCCAAAATGGAATCCTTCTCAGTCACTGTGTGGCTTTGGGAAAATCTCTGTACCTCTCTGAGCCTGTTTTCTCCCCTGTAATGTGGGTGTACCCGTCCATCCTGATGGGGGCGCTGTTGTGAGACTTTTCTATGGAATAATGCTTGGGAGAAGCGGAGCATTCTACGTGGGAGGGAAAGAAGCCAGTCTCAAAAGGTTAAGATCGTGAGCTTCCATTGTGTATTGTTCAAGTGACACATTAGAGAGATGGTGGTGCATTCGAGGCTGCCAAGAGCTGGGGGTTCAGGGGAAACAGAGTGTGGTTATAAACAGGTAGCAGGGAAAGGCAGCGGAAAAGGGGGTGCAGCAGGAGAGAGAGGGAGAACCCAGACCCTGAATCCCAGCCTAACCTCAGGGAAACAGCAGACCAAGGACATGCTACAAAAGACCTGGCCAGATTTCCTCCAAAGTGTCAAGGTTGCCAAGCACGGTGCAGCCTGCAATCCCAGCTCTCAGGAGGCTCAGGCAGGAGGATCACAAGTTCAAGGCCAGCCCCAGCAATTTAATGGGACCCTGTCTCAAAATAAAATAAAAAAGGGGTTGGCGTTGTAACTCCGTGGTCGAGCGCTTGCCTAACACGTGTGAGGCCCTGGGTTTGATCCTCAGCACCACATAAAATAAAGGCAGTGTGTCCATCTACAACTAAAAACAAAATCTTAAAAAAATGTATTTAAACTAAAGTAAAATTTAAAAGTCTGAGGGTGAGACTCAGTGGTGCAGGACTTGCCTAGCAGCATGTGTGAGAGCTGATTCCATTCCCTGAACTCTGTGTGTGTGGCCGGGGGTGGGGGTGGGGTGTCAAGGTCACCAAGAACAAGGAAAGAATGTGAAACTGTCGCAGACCAGTTTTAGCAAATGTACAGTAAAATCGTATTTATATAAATTTCTTCTTTCAATATATTGATATGAATCAATATATTTAATGTTGAGAATATAAATTCATGTATTAAATATGTTGATGGTAGAAATGAATATATTTAATATTTCAGTTAATAGTCCTCCTTTTTCTGTGCTTTCAACTACCTGAGGTCAATGGTGGTTTGAAATAATTCATGTTTTAAATTGCACACCATTCTGTGTCCTGAGACAAAATCTTGTGTCATCCTGCTCCATCCCTCCTGGCACCTGAATCATCCCTTTGTCCAGCGTATCCAGGCTGTATATGCTACCCACTCATTAGTCACAGTAGCCGTCTGGGTTATCAGACCAACACTGGGGTACCACAGTGCTTGTGTTCAAGTAACTTTCATTTTACTTAATAACGGTCCCTAAGTGCAAACTTTTATTAGAGTCAATGGTTATAAATGGTTCTATATTGTTACTTGTTAGTGTTAAGCTATTGCTGTGCCTAAGTTTAAATTAAACTTGATCAGAGATATGTCTATAAAGGGGAAAACTCAACCTATGCAGGGCTTGGTGCTATCTGCAGTTTTGGGTTCCACTGGATGATTGTGGGATGTACCCCCTGTGGATAAGCAAGGGCTACTGTGACATACATTAACCTCCTCAAAATCCATATGCTGACCTCCTACTAACCCATAGATAGAGAAGAGCCTATCTCTGCTGGACGGCAGGCGGTGGCGGAAACAACTTGGTCATGTTGTGTTTGTAAAAAAATCTTTCTAGCAGTGAGTGTGGAAGACGGACGAGAGTGAGGGGTGGGGGGCTGTGGCCAGGAGGGCGGGGAGGGCACAGAAGTCCTCTGCAGTGGAGGGATTCCCAGGGACAGGAACCTTCTGGGGAGGTGGAGCCACCATAGGCTGGAGGGCTGGGGATAAACTCAGTGTTCCTGACCCGCCCCCTTGGGCAACCACGACTCCTCCCTCCTGTGTGCGCCTGGTTCCACCTCAGAGGCAGGTGCCAGAAGCCTGGAGACTCACACACACACACACACACACACACACACACACACAGGGCCAGATCAGCGCCTCTCAGCAGGGGCTGCTCTTGGGCCACCACGGGGGTCAATTCTTCTACTCTGCCTGAGACTAAGCTAGGTTTTAGCACTACAAATCTTTTTCTTGTTTTTTGGTACTGGTGATTGAACTTGGGGCGTTCAACCACTGAGCCCCATCCCCAGCCCTATTTTGTATTTTATTCAGAGACAGGGTCTCACTGAGTTGCTTAGGGCCTTGCTAAATTGCTGAGGCTGGCTTTGAACTTGTGATCCTCCTGCCGCGGCCTCCTGAGCTGCTAAAATTATAGGCTACAAACCTTGCATCCTGCGAAGCCCTCTATTCCAGGCAAATTGGGATGGTGGTGACCCTAGAATTCTTCCCCCACCCCACACCAGAGGCCTTTCTGGGAGAAAGGCTGAAGGATCCAGGGAAATGAGGAGGATCCCAAGGTCAAGATCACAGAGGACTTGTTGCACTATCTTGCAGCAGTAAAATCCCTTTTCCAGAGCGCACGTCTGGGCGCTAGGTGGGATTGGCATTGACGGCAAGGCTGCATTTGGGGCCCTGGAGATGCACATTCTGGGTACACGGTCCATTTCACGTGCACCACGGAGGGGCTCCCTGTAGCCTCACCTGACCGGTGGTGGCGGTGCCACTGCTCCTGGCTGATGAGGCCCCGCCTCCAGGCCTCCTGAGCTCCAGAGCGAAGGACAGAGGTCAGAGTGGCCTCCTCAGGCCCAGGAGCCTCTCTGCCACCTGTCGCCTGCAGGACGTAGGTAGGAGGAACTGAGTTCTCGTCTCTCCGGAAGCGTCGTGCCACCAGCTCCAGGTCACGTGGCCTGGTGGTCAGCTGGGCCCTCAGTGCCTCCCACTCCTTCTCCTCGATCACTGAGGGCACTGGACAGGGGCCATACTGGTCACCTACAAGGGCCTGGCAGAGAAATGGGCAGAGAGGGGAGTACAGCTTCAGATCTCCAAGTGGAACTCAGCTCTGAGCCCAGAGAGGAGCTCATGAACCCCCTGAGTGTGGGCCTGCGGTAATGCCAAGGTTGATGATTACTAAGTGCAGACTGGGCACAGTGGCACCCGCCTGTCATCCCAGTGGCCAGAAGGCTGAGGAAGAAGGATTGTGAGTTCCAAGCCAGCCTCAGCACAAGTGAGGCGCTAAGCAACTCAGTGAGACCCTGTCTTGAAATAAAATACAAAATAGGGCTGGGGATGGGGCTCAGTGGTCGTGTACCCCTGGGTTCAACCCCTTAGTACCAAACAAAAACAAAAACAAAAACCACTTCAGGTTGGTGCCAAAGTCTTGAATTTCCTCATGGTAAGATGGAAGCAATCACCCACCCCACTGGGTTGTTCCAGAATATTCCAGGGGTATGTTCCTGGGAAAGCTGGATAAAGGGAATCGAGGATGATGGGACGTTGAAGGGCCTCGGTCCCTTCGACAGTAATGGTCTTGGAGGAACCAGAAAGATTGGAAAAGTCACCACCAGTGGAGATCAGGGTAAGGAGCCCTGGCTGGTGGATGGGGGCAGGGAAATAGGAAGAGCTCCCAGCAGGAGCGACTTGGGGCTCTGGAGACACTGGAGCTGCTGGTGTCCCAAGAGACAACTCTAAAAGGAAGCGCCGTGGGGAGCCGTCCCCTGCTGATGTGCTGCCTAATGGCTTGTTTACCAGAGCCGCCTCCAGGCTCCCAGCACAGCTGATTTCCATGGAAAGTCCCCCAGATCAGAGCCTTGGAGGACAACAGTGGTGGGCATCTCGGAGGGGTAGGGCCGGGTTCAACAGGGAAGCAAGAGTGAGCAGAGGTCACCGGCCCTGGAGCCCTTCTGGAAGGTCCCCAGGCTGGCTGGTTAGACCTGGGGAGGCCTGGAGATCATCCTCCATCTCCCAGCCATCTGGAGGCCGAGATGTGCTTTTTGCTGTCTGCAATTTGGATTGCAAAACCTAATTCCTCCTAGAGTTCTTCCCCGCCCCCCTCGCCCTCTTTCTCTCTCCCTCGCTCTCTGTTTTCAAACATTTTTTTTCCCCCTTGGAAACTCAACAGCATGATCACGGAGTTCCTTTGGAAAATTAAATTTTAAAAACCAGAAAAATGATTGTGAAGGGAATTTCTAAGCAGGGCTGTGGAACCTTCCAGATGTTAGAACACATTTTAAAGCAAGAATCATTCAAATAAATCAGTGCTAATATATGAAGAGAAGAACCCAGCAAAAATAGGCCCACACAGGAGCAGCCCTACCTACAGTAATGTAGAATGCAGAAGGCTCTCTCAGCCCGTGCCTGGGTCTGAGTTTGGTTGGTTGGTTGGTTTTGCTCTCGAGGGAGGTCTAATCTATGAGGCAGCACTATCCAATGGAACTTTCTACAAAGCTGGGAGAATATTAATCTGTGCTGTCCAACATGACACCCTCTTGTTGCAATGCAATCAGTGCAAAGGAGGAACTGAAATCTTAATTCTATTTGATTTTAATTAGTCTAACTTGCATTGCTCACGTGATTCTTGATCCTTGCAATGCTACAGCCAGAGAGACTCTGTCCATTCGTCCCCCACCCTCACCCCAGCAAACAACTCTCTCCTACATTTTTTTTTTTAATTTATCTCTGGGAGAGTTTCTTTCCTCTTATTTGGAGCTGCTAGACGCTTCTTCGTGATTTGATTAAGGCGAGTGGGGCAAAGATACTTTATTTTTTTCCTTCTTTGCTAACTAGAATAAGGATGGTCAGACTTTTTCTGGAAAGTGCCACACTGTCCGTATTTTAGCCTCTGAAGTGCAGAGGGTCCAGGTCAAGGAGTCCCAGCTCGCTATCATTCAGTCCCAGACTTTATGTAAATAGATGGGAGTGGCTGAGGGACAATAAAATGTATTTACAAATACAAGCCCCAGGCCAGGTTTGTCCCACAGGCTGTAGTTTGGTAGCCTCGGCTCTAGGGCTTGAGAGAAATGTCAGACTTCTCAGATGGATCTGGAACTTGATGTGGCATTAAGCCAAGGTGCTGAAATATAATTCAAGGACAAAGGTTCACCCTGTTCATTGTGAGCTGGGGATTGTTTTGATAAACAAGGGGGCACACCTGGGAAGCCACAAGAGACGGCTAGCCATGGAAAGTGCACCTGCCATCCACGGGTACACGGAGAAAAGAATTCCCCAAACCCTGTGGGTTCCCACTTTCCCTCTGGCTTCCCAGAGTCACACAGACATGAAGGGGGGGAAGGAGGAGGAAGGTTCCATCAAATTCTAAGATTCTTTCCAGCTTTAACATTCTATCCTCCAGCTCCTCTGCTGCTTCATTTGACTAGTAATGCCTCTATCCCAGCTGGGGCCGCAGAAAGAATGCGGGATCCATTGGCCATGTCTGCCCTGGGCAGGCTTTGGGAACAGGTATGACCGAGAAATGCCACACACTTCCCTCCTCTGTTTGCTTTGGCTGGGGATCAGGGCCCACATCCTGGAGATGGAAAAGGCAGTAAGGTCTCCCCCTCCCTCCCGAGGGACTCACAACAAAAGCTGGCCCGATGGACGTCTTGCGACACCGGTCCAGCTCTTCCAAGCAGATTTCGGTGGTCATGTGGTCAGTGGCCTCCGTGTTCTGAATTCCCCACCTCAGATCAACAACCTGGGGATTATAAGGGTGGGGGTTGTCAGGGAGGTGACATGATGGGTGATTTTTTTCAACTCCCTTTGACAAAAGCATAAAGTTCCTTTCAATAATTTTTTGGGGGAGGGGGAACCAGGGATTGAACCCGGGGGCACTTTACCACCAAGCCCCATCCCCAGCTCTATTTATTTAGAGGCAGGGTCTCACTGAGTTGCTCAGCACCTCACTTTTGCTGAGGCTGGCTTTGAACTCGTGATCCTCCTGCCTCAGCCTCCCGAGCCACTGGGATGACAGGCATGTGCCATCGAGCCCAGCTCCTTTTTATAATTTTTGACACTAGGAGGATTTCTGGATTAAAAGAATTTAAACAATATCCATAATCTCTGCGTGATCATGAGAAAAAAATCAGGTAGACCCAGATTAGGGGGCAGGGAGTGATCCAGGATGCCCAGCGGGTCCTCCGTTAGGCAGCCGCGGCCGCGAACAATAAGGAAAGACTAAGGACTGTCACAGTCCAGGGCAGCCTACCAGGTGGGACCCTGGGTGGGATCCTCCACCGGAAAGAACTGGCCGCGTGGAATAAAATCTGGAGGTTGCTTAATAGCAATGTACCCATGTGGCTTTGGTAGTTGTAAAAAATGTTACAATTATGGCAAGGCAGTTGTTCCGGGTTGGTGAGATCTTAACAGTGGCAGAGAGGCGGTGCAGGGGAACTCTCTGTACTGTCACGCAAACTTCCTGTCAACCTCAACCCAAAGTCAAAGATCTATTTGAAAACGACATTTGAAAACCATTTTGAGAAAGATAACCGGGTGTTTTCAAACTGCTCCTTTTTAAACGAAGATGGGTCCATGCATGCTTCCAGATCCTTCTTTGTAAAGGAGGGTATTTAGTTGGACCGAAATTGGGTGCAGCCAGGTCTCCTTGGCAACCGCAGGCTTGCGGTCCATTTCTGATCGCCAGAGGGAGGCGGGCAGGATGGTTCAATTCAAGAGGCAAAGCTGAGCCTGGGGGAGTCTGGAATGAGGGGAGAAGATGTTCTCGGGACAGCTGTCTTCTTCCTAACATCTTTAGCTCAGAGAGAAAGAAACACAAACTGCAGCCAGGGGTAAACTAGCAGTGGGACTGAGGGTGGCCGGAGGGAAACAGGGCAGGATCCTCAGTCGTGGGTGCAGACAAGGGAAAAGAGTCCAGACCGGCCTTAGGAAGGGCTTTTGCCTGGGACCACTGTCTCCTGACTGCCTTGAGGACACTCAAGGTGCAGCACTTAGCTCGGGTGTGGGCATCAAACAACCACAGGGGTCTGAGCAGTTTGCTGTCCACCTGTTTTCCTGTTAGTGCCTCTGACATTGAACTCTCTCTCGCAATCAATGACAGAGCGGATTCCCAGCATGACTTCTTTCTTAGTACTCTCTAAATGGTGCTTCATCTTTTAATCAAACGGGACTTTGATGCCATGAATCGCTGTTGTACATCCAAGGAGGCAGCCTCAGTTCCAGCTGAGACTCCAGAGACGGTTCCTCAGTTTCTGCATTGAGAAGTTCAAGAAACCAAATCCCCAGACTGGGATTAGTCCAAGAGTCATAGAAGACCCTGTGTGGGGACCGTGGGGACTGTGCCCAGTGAGCAAAACATCAGGGCTCCAGGAAGAAGAACATCCCACCGCCATCCTCACCCCCAAAACCACGAAGAGTCTTGACCCCCTCCAGAAGCTGCCCCCGGGACACGGAGGCCCCCAGGGCAGGACCAAAGCTGACACTTAAATGACAGGCTCAAGGTCACACCTTCAGGGAGGCAGTGGTGGACCCGGGCTCCAAAGCAATCTCTCCTAGCCATGATGCCTTGCCCCCCGCAGGGCCAGCCCCAGGCCCACGGCCCTAATGCTCCTGTCTGCTTGTCACTGTCCCACGACCTTTTCTGCACAGCCACCTTGCAGGGGGGTTTGCAGGGCCCAGGGCAAAACACAGCAGATCTCTTGTTTTAAAATCACTGTGAATTTCAAGACCCAACAAGGAAGGCGTTAAGCCGGCCTGGAGCCCTTCCAGCGAAGGTTTCTGCGTGGCTTCCCGATGGCTCAAGGCAGCCCTTACCTCGAATGTCAGGCCGTGCTTTTGGCAGAAGGTCTGCACTTGTGGGCAGGCGGCAGACTGCAGGGCCTCCCTCTCTGCATCCATATCTGCAAGGAACGCCTCGAGGCTGTGAGCAGGAAGCAACCAGAACTCCCCACCCCGCCCCAAAGCTCTGCTTATCGCCTCCTGTGTCCCCACCAAGGCCAGAGCCGCCTGGAGCAAATCAAAGATACAGAAACCATCAAGTAAACTCAAGGAAGGGGCTGGGCTGGGGCTCAGGGGCAGAGCACTTGCCTGGCATGAGTGAGGCCCTGGGTTCCATCCTCAGCACCACATAAAAATAAATGAATAAAATAAAGGTATTGTGTCCATTTACAGCTATAAATAAATAAGCAAACCCAGGGAGGCCAGCCATTCTGGGGGCCTGGGACTTTCCCAGGACAAACTATTTAAATCCCATATCCCAAGAAACTTTCCCCTCTGTTCTGGGCCAACCAAGACGATTGGTCACCCACCCTAGATGAGGGTGGCCAGGTAAAACATGGGATGCCTGGCTGAATCTGCATTCTACATAAGCTCTGGAATACCTCGTTAGCTAAGTATGTCCCATTGCATGCAGTATTTGGGATATACTTATGCTAAAGGATATTGGTCATTTATCTGACTCGCAAATTGAACTGGACATCCTGGTGGTGTGGGCTGTTGTGTTTTGTTTTTCTAAATCTGGCAGCCAGGCCCAGTATAAGCTTAGACCCCCAAGACCGTCCCCACCAGTGACTGCACCGTGTAGTCTTGTGCCAAGTGTCAGGCTATCCTCAGTTTCCCTTTCCATAAAATGGGGGTGGTGCCTCTCTTTGCAGGGCTGCAGGCTCCCCAAAGTCAAGGACTTGCCTTGGACATTGCTGAAGTCTCAGCCCCCAACCCAGGAAGTGCAGTTGGATCACTGAATCTCCCAAGTAGCTCTGAGTGAAGAAATCTTTGTTTTCTGTTTGACCAGGGGGTTGTCACTCTGGTGTCCATGAGAGGAGTTTCTCAGAACTACTGATGCAAATAAAATGAAATAAAATAGATCTGTCTAGGGGCCTTAGCATGATGGCCGACCCTGGTGTCCAGTCTTAGATATGCCTCCTACTCCCCTGTCATCATCCCCATCTGCAGAGTAGTAAGGTCTCTTCCTGCCTTACCAGTGCCTCAGGCTATTTAAACGTGTCAGACAGTTACGTTGCGCCCAGACCCTTGGTGAGCATCAATGGCACAATAGCCAGGGAGAGATATGTAATTAACCTGTATAGGGTCTCAGGCCTGTCATCCCAGCGATTCAGAGGCTGAGGCAGGAGGATCGCGAGTTCAAAGCCAGCTTCAGCAACTCAGTGAGGCCCTAAGCAACTCAGTGAGACCCTGTCTCTAATAAAATACAAAATAGGGCTGAGATGTGGCTCAGTGGTTGAGTGTCCCTGAGTCCAATCCCTGGTACCCCAAAATAAATAAATAAAATAAAAGAGCTGGGGATGTAGTTCAGTGACAGAGTGTTTGCCTAGCATGTGAGAAAACCTTGGTTCAATCCCCAACACTGCAGAGAGAGAGAGAGAGAGAGAGAGAGAGAGAGAGAGAGAGAGCGCTACTAACTAAAAAATGTCAGCTGGTTATTCATAGTCATATTAACATTAAATCAGATTGTTTTAAAAATTAAAAAAAAAAAACTGAACTTACACCGGAAGACAGTACACTAAAAGACAAGATTGTGAAGAAGGCAAAACTCATCACCTCCAAATTATTGACTCCATTTTTTTAAATTTATTTTTTTAGTTGTATTTGGACACAACACCTTTATTTCACTTGTTTATTTTTTTTGTATGTGGTGCTGAGGATCGAACCCAGGGTCTCACACGTGCGAGGCGAGCGCTCTGCCACTGAGCCACAACCCCAGCCCCTATCTGACTCCATTTACCATGAGCTTTGCACTTGAAGCTGTTAAAAAATACCAACTTGGGATAACAGAAATGGTAGATCATGGTGTGCTACTTCATGGTTTGGTAAATTCGATTGGCAGCTCGAAGCTGTAGGGGGAATATTTACAGCACAGAAATTGTCAGCCAACCTGGATCGGGTGTTTGGCTGTGGGTGGTATTTGTGGGTTTGCTTTCTCTTTTGGAAAACAATCATGAACCGTTCGCCAGGACATGGCTCTATGTGGTTGTGGCTCTTGTGAAGCTCACGGCCTGGTGGCAGGGGACACAAACTCAATGATGGCAACTTATGAAAAGTGCTGCTTGGGAAGCCACGGTGGGCTGTGCTGGAGAACAGGGTCGACCCACTCTCCACAGGGGCAGAGGGGACTCCCTGAAGAGGAGGTGTTGATGCCGAAACCCACAGATGGGAAGGCCCAGGGAAGGGGACCTCGGGGTGAGGGTCTTGACACAAGGCTCAGGGCTTCGTGGTTCCAGGACCTGCCAGACACGAGTGTGGCTACGACACTCGGACGAATTGAAGATCGTATGAGATACAGTTAGGGAGGTGGACAGGGTCCTGTCACGCAGGATCGTGTAGCTGTGGCAAGAATCTGGCACTTTTTAAGCCCAGTATATGCACATGTCTTATAGATATTAGTTGCAATATCATATGCCACTCACGACAACTCTGTTAAGCCGGCTCTCAGCCCAGCTCATGGAGGAGGAGACAGAGGGTCCAGGAGGCTCCCGCTCACTGGTTCCCAGGTGGGTCACTAGCTGAGCTGCATTCACATGAAGGTCTCTTGGAGGACCCTGTGAACCATGTCCATTATTACCCTGGCACCCCCAAGACTGCCCACTTGCCCGGGGCCCTCAGTCCTGCCTGCACCTTACCTGAGACGGTGGAGCTGATGAAGATGGCCACGCTGCTGGGTGGAGGCTCCGGGAGGGGACCTGGCTGCCCGTGGAGAAGCCGCCGGCGGGTGCCTGGGCTGAGGGGCTCCAAGCTCATGCTGCCCACCCACCTGGACGCTCCCTTCCTGGGAAGGGGTCTAAGGCCCAGGAACCTCACGCCAGTGGCCAGGTGACCTTCCTGGGAGGCCAGATGGCAAAGCCATCAGGAGGTCCGGCTGTGTCACCCTCCATGGAGCCCTCAGCCGCTGGCAGCCCCGTCCCCTCGGCGCCCAGGAGGGTGGCTGCTGCCCCGTCCGCTCTCCTGGGCCTGCGAGCGCTAACAGGGCTCTGGCCAGTGGCCTCCCAACTGGGGCACCTGGATGCCGCCTCCTCCACACCCCGCAGCCTTCCCGGGTCCCCGCCCTGAGAGCTCAGGGGTCACCACAGCAACCGCCGTTTCCTGGTGCTGGGTTTTGGGACCCAGGGACCAGCCAGTCTCTCCCACACCTGGGTCCCCTGGGGCCTCCGTGTAAGCTGAGCCTGGGCCCAGGTGTGCCAGGGAACTGGAGGGTGCCCGGAGACAGCCTGGCACCGCGGGCAAGAAGGATACCCAGGGCGGACCCCACTCCACCCGCCACCCGCCCTCCCGCGTCCACACACCTTGAGCACCCTTCAAGCCAGGCCTGGGGGCCTGCTGCCCCACCCCCAGGGACACGTGCACTGCCTGCAGCACTTTGGGTTGTCACCAACGGGGATGGCCAGAGATGCAAAACAGACCACAGTGCCCAGGACACCCCCCCATGAAGAATGGTGTGTCCCCAAGTGCCGCAGTGCCAAGAAACTGAGGAACTAGCCTTGAATAAACTCTAGCCAGGTAGCCGCAGGCAGCCCCCCCCCCCCCCCCCCCCCCCCCCCCCCCCCCGCCACCAGGGCCCGCTCTGTGCGGCCTCTGTGCCTGCTCTGGCTGTCCCCTCCTGCCTGGTTCACCCAGGATGGCTATCATTCAGGAGCCCCAAGACCTTCAGGGTCTATGATTTGACAGAAGAATTTATAATTTCAGAAAAGCCACCGCAGGTTATGGTTAGGGTTGATCAAAGTGGACAGGCCAGAACCAGCCACTGCAGAAGGTAGAGGGAGGAGGGCTAGTGGCCAGGCATACAGCTCTTCTTCTTCTTTGTGAGTTGCTTAGGGCCTCACTAAATTGAGGAGGCTGGCTTTGAACTCACGATCCTCCTGCCTCAGCCTCCCCGGCTGCTGGGATCACAGGTGCACACTGGATAGGGGAAATAATTTCTAACATTCTGTAATGCAGCGGGGTAGCTATGGCTGATAACAACTAATTGCATATTTCAAAATAACTGATTTTGAATGTTCCTGACACAAAGAAATGATCGACGTGAGGTGGGGGGTAGGCCAATCACCCTGGTCTGCTCTTTGCACATGGTATGCATGTGTTGAAATATGCTGTACTCAGAAGTATTTGTAATTATTAGGTGTTAACTGAAACTTTTTAAATATATGGATTTTGTTGGGTGTGTGTGGCTCAGCGGTAGAGCACTTGCCTAACAGGCTCAAGGCTCTGGGTCCCATCCCCAGCCCCACTGGGGGGAAATATATATATATATAGAGAGAGAGAGGATCAGCCAAGGGTACAGTGCATGGGGCAGGGTCTGGGAGAGATCGGTGCTAGCTTTCCTCTGTCCCCTCCCAGTGTTGATGACCAGCACCTAATTCTTCCAGGAACAGTGGGTGGCAATATGCATGGTGTGCTGCCAAACAGGGATCCCACCCTAAGCCTTGGTGCCCAGGTTTTGGCTGGAGGTGGGACAAAGGGACAGGTTTACCACCTCCATAGCTGACTGCAGTCCCCAGCCCCTCCTAAGGTCAACTGACTCTGTGTGATGCAAAGTGCCCACCAGCAGTCACCTGGTCACAGTCTGGTGTGACTGTGTAAGTGCTCTTATCAGCCAGGCCATTCCCAGGGCTGAGCCATCACCTCCCAGGAGCAGGTCAGGGCTGGAGTTTAACCCATTAAGTCCTGGTTCGGCCCAGGATGGCGGGCACACAGAATAATGTGCAGGTGTCCACGGGGTGGGGGGGGGGCTGGGCGGTCCATCTTAACTGTAAAGGTCCAGTAACAGAGGTGACTGTCACCATTTTACAGATGAGAAAACTAAGGCTTGGAGTGGACCTCCCCACTTGCCCTGAAGGAGCGTCAGGCCTGGCCTGGTCCCTTCTACTCCAGAGACCCCAAAGCCAGCCTGGCCCTGCAGCCACCTGCCCACCCTCCACCCAGACCCTCTGAATTAGCCTCACCCTATTGACCCTACCGGGGCCCCGCCTCCGGATGCTGGTGTCTGTCTGCATGCTCCCTTCACCCCGGCTGCCAGCCTCCTGACTTTGAAGTGACCTCCCCCACGATGGATGGTGTCCTTTTCTCCATGGCCTTGGGCCCTATCACACTCCAGCAGTGGCCACCCTCCCTGGATTACTGCTCCCTCATGTCCCTAGGGGATCAGTGTCCTTTGATGGTGACACTCCCCCCACATTTCTGCATATTCTCCAGCCCAGGTTTTCTCACTCTGAGTGACTGACATTCAGAACCAGGTCACTCTTCTTGTCTTGTGCATTCATGGTTCTACCCACTAGATGACAAAAGCAATCCCCACCACACCAAAGTCGAGATGATTTAAAGAATCTCCAGAGCTGGGCACAGAAGTGCACACACCTGTGAGCCAGCTACTTGGGAGCCGGAGCAGGAGGATCACAAGTTCTAGGCCAGCCTAGGCCATTTAGCAAGACTCTGTCTCAAAATAAAGCAATCTCCAGACATTGCCAATGCCTTGCAAGGGGTAGAATCACTCCTGGTTAAGAATCCCTGGCCTGGGGTTCTTAACCCCTGGCATGCATGAGGCATTGGGTTCGATCCCCTGCACCACATAAAAATAAACAAATAAAATAAAGGTATTGTGTCCATCTACAACTAAAAATATTAAAACAAAACAAAACAAAAACAACCTGGCCTAACACATCCAGCTTATTTCAGCCTCAGGCCCTTTGGACATGCTATACTGCATTCTTTCATGTCAGTTACAATTCAGCTCAAATGCTACCTCCTGAGAGGTTCTCCCTGACTGTCCCATTGCTCAGTGATCCTTTTAGTCACTTGAGTCCCAATGCTGTCACCCTATTTTGATTTTCTGCACAGTACTCACCACATGATTCTACATGATGTACACTGTCTCTCCTGCAAGAACGTGAGTTGCACGGGGCAAGGATCTTGTCTGCCAGGCCGGGTTGCCTGGCACATAGTAGGTGCTCAGTAAATAACTGTTACCTCAGTGGGTTCATCCACAATCGTCCATCTCTCTCGACTGCTATTGGTGGCTGCAGACACTGAGCAAGACCAGGCTTCCCCAGGGAGGGAACAGACCCTTTGCAGTATCTGTCTTCTGGCTTTCCCTGGGGACTTCAGCCACCCTCTTCTTCTTGCTGGTGCTAGAAAGGCCAATTTAGAACCCTCTGGAGAAGCAGGTCCCAGAAGAAAGTTTTCCGAGCCCAGAGCCACCAGAAGACAAGCCTCCTGCAATTCTAGTAACTTTTGTCTTAGGTCCTTTCTGGGTCTTTCCCCACCCAATTCTCCCAGCAACTGGGATAATGAAAAGAATTATTTGGCTCTCAGGCACCGGCTTAGCTGGGCGCTCAGCCAGGAGTGGCGGTTAACTATTGTGTGCCAGGCTATGACCACTCATCATAGCAGATGCCATCTGTTGAGGGTCTGGGAGGTGCCAGCTAGTTGGCATTCAGCATCAGCCGTCCAAAATACAAGCCTAAGAGGCAGATATCAGGTTCCTGTCCCATAGATGCAGAAAACAGGTCCAAGAAATGAGGTCACATGTGATTTCCAACAACCTCCTGGCCTAGTAAGAATGTCATGCTCTTTTATTTTTATTTTTTTTTAGTTGTTGACAGACCTTTATTTTATTTATTTATATGTGATGCTGAGAATCGAACCCAGTGCCTCATACATGCCAGGCAAGTGCCCTACCGCTGAGCCCCAGCCCCAGCCTTATAATGCTTTGATGAGAGAGTGAGCCTGCACCACACCTGGGTCATAGGAGTGGCCCATGAGATGTTGGCTGTGACTGATCCCCATCATGACCACCACCACCAGCTTCACTCAATAAGTGGCAGTTAGGAATCAAACCCAGCTCCGCAGCCAATGTCAAGAACATTCCAGCAGCTGGGAGCGGTGGCGCACACCTGTAATCCCAACTACTCAGGAGGCTGAGGCAGGAGGATAGCAAGTTTGAGGCCAGCCTCAGCAACTTTACAAGGCCCTAAGCAACTTAGTGAGACCCTGTCTTAAAATAATAATAATAATAATTAATAATAATAATGGGCTGGGGATGTGGTTCAGTGGTTAAACACCCCTGGGTTTAAAAAAAAAAATTCAGCAAGTGTTCATGAAATCTAAGTTGCTAGACCAGGGTTTCCCGAGTTTGGCATTGATGACATTTGCAGCCGTCTAGTGCTTTGTGGACTCTAGGGCAGCACCCCTGGCCTCTCCTTGTTGTGATAACCAAAGATGTATCCTGACTTTGCCAAGGGTCCCCTGGGGAGCAAAATTCCCCTGACCCCTCACTGAGAACCACTGATCCGTCACTAGTGATAATGATATTACTGTATTTTTTCTTTTCTGAGGGTTCTGGGGGTGGAACTCCAGGCCCCAGTTCTGCTAGCTCTTCCACTGAGCCCCCCTGCAGTCCGTTGTTATCAGATTTTGATGGACTCAAGTTTGGGGTACAAATACCTACACTGTCTCCAGTTCTCCAGGCAAACTTGGGGACTTCAATTTACTCCCCTGGTTGATCAATGATGAAAACAAGCTTCAGAGAAGTTACATAAATTGCTCAAGTTCCCATGGCAAAGGAGGTAAGTTGAGAGTCAAACGGAAGCATGACTCTAAACCTGAGTTGTTAGCCGAACAGGAACTTGCGGAATTGAAGAATTCTTGGCAGAGGTTTTGAAATGTGATAATGGGATTTAGATTAGTTTTCTAAAGTGTCTCTATTTTTTAGAGACACATAATATAATACAGTCAGTCCTCCATATCTGTGGGTTTGGCATCTGCAGATTCAACCAATCCCAAATCAAAAATATCTGGAAAAATTGCATCTGGGCTAAATGGATATAGATCTTTTCTTTCCCCTGACAATAAAATAAACAACACAGCATCCCAACTACGTCCACAGCATTTGCATGGCTTAGGGATTCTAAGTCATCTGGAGATTATTTAAAGACCACAGGAGGATGTGTGTATGCTCTAATCGAATAGCATGCCATTTGATATCAGGGGCTTGATCATCCCAGGAGTTTGGTGTCCGTGGGGGTCCGAGAACCAATCTCCCTTGGTTACCAAAAGAAATTGCATTTATGGAATGATGAGATGACTGGGGTTTGCTTCAAAATAATTGATGGGACGTAGATAGAGTGGGGAGGAGTAGGGCTGGCCAGGGGATAATGGTGGTCCTGGCTGAGGCGGGGCTGGGTATGCTGTTCTGTTTACTTTTGTGAGTGTTTGAATTTCTCCATAGGAAAAGAATGCAATATTCATCAATTAGTACTCTGAAGGAATAGCCATGAAAATCCCTATGTGCTGAGCAGGCCCTGAGCCTCCGGCATTTCTGTATCTCTGAGCCACCTGTGCATGGTGAACGTCATCATCCCACCTGACAGAAAGGAAGTCCAGGTTGAGATGTGTTAATAAGCCTTTTAACCTGAGGCGGGGAAGAGCCAGGCTCGGCGTGAGCGGGGCAGCAGCGCCCTCGCGAGGCCAGCACAGGAAATGCTGCGTGAATGGGCCGAGCCTTGGGAACCAGGTGGGGTGGAAGGGGTGGAGGGGAGGAAGGAGAAGGCCAGGTTTCAGCGTTTGTGGGAAGCCATTAAAAAAAAAAATAGAAATCAAGATAAATAATATGATTTCAAATTTTAAATTGCGGACAAAGGATAAATAATGTTTAATGCCATATTTTTGAACAAAATTAACACAAAAATCCACAATGAATAAAATGCCAAAATTTTATCACAACTATAATAATATACCAACTCCCACTGACTCAGACAGATATTTAAAAGTGTAGAGGGGGCTGGGCGCATAGCTGAGTAGTAAAAGCACCTGCGCACCAGGCCTTGGGTTCCATCCCCAGCACAAAAAGCCAGGGTGGGGGTGGGGGAGTAGACAATCCCAAGCCTTAGCAAGGATGTGGCGATATCTGACCTCTATATATTGCTGGGGGAATGCAAAGTGTTTCAGCCACCACGGAAAACAATTTGGTGGTTCCTCAAAAAGTTAAACACCATATGCTAGATTACCATATAATCCAGCAATTCGGCTTCTACATCTATATGCAGAAGAATTGAAAGCAAGTGTTGAAGCACTCCTGTTCAGGGCAGCACTACTTATGGTAGCCAAAAGATGGAGACAGCCCAAGTGTCCATCAACAGATGGGTAGACAGACAAAATAGGGTCCACCCATACAGCGGAATATCATTCAGCCATAAAAAGCAAGTAAGCACTGGCCCGTGCTGCAGTGTGAGTAAACCTGGAAAACATGATGCCGAGTAAAATCCAGACACTCAAGGCCACCTGGGGTGTGATCCCATGGGGATGAAATGTCCAGGGCAGGAGAATCCAGAGGAACGGAAAGCGGAGGAGAGGTTTCCAGGGCTGGGGGAGGGGCGTGGGGAGTGGCTGGTGACAGTTTCTTTTATGGATGAGGCAAAGGTTTTGGTATTTTTTCAATTTGAATGTTCGTCCCCTCCAACACTTATGTTGCAATGCAGTCTCCATGGTAACACTACTAAGAGAATAAGTTCCAGAGCTCTGCAGCACAGTGGGGTGACACAGCCGGCCACAACCTAGTGAAGACCGAGCTCAGACACAAAGAACCCATGAGAAGATGGAAATGCGAATTAACCTGATGGGATCATCCCACACTGCACACACGGATCAGATCGGATTATCCCACGCTTCCTTCAAAAAACGTGCACAACAACGTGTCAATTAAAAGGAAGAGGCGGGGCCTTTAAGAGGTGATTGGGGCTCCACCCCAGGGAGAGGAGTCCCCTCATTAAAGGGGTTTGCCACCCGGACCCTTGCGTCTCTCCACCAAGCCAGACTTTTCCAGTACAAGGACAGTGGTAAATATTTTCAGCTCTGGGACTCAGACAACCCTAACTCAGCTCTTAACTGCGTCCCTGCAGCCAGCAGCCAAAGACAATTTGTAAACCAGTGGGTGGGACTGTGTGTCAGTAAAGCTTGGCAGACACTAAAATCGAATTTCATGTCATTTTCACATCAAGTGTCCCGAAATAGTCTCCCTCTTTTGATTTTTCCCCTCCTGTCATCCCAGCAGCTTGGGAGGCTGAGGCAGGAGGATCTCAAGTTCAAAGCCAACCTCAGCAACTTAGTGAGGCCCTAAGTAACTCAGGGAAGTCCCATCTCTAAATCAAATATTTTTTTAAAAGGGCTGAAAATGTGACTCAGTGGTAAAGCGCCTCTGGGGTCAATCCCCAGTGCAAAAAAAAAAAAAAAAATTCATTCTCATTTTATAGGTTATATGACAAAGAGGAGATGTTGATTTCTCTTAAGAACTAGAACATTTATAAATTTCTAACCTAATCATGAGGTGCATAATGACTATTGGTCAACAACGGACCCCAGACACAACAACGATCCCACAAAATTAGAGTGGAGCTGAGTAATTCCTGTTGCCCAGTGACATCGTGGCCACTTAATACACTCCTCACCTCTGCAGTGATGCCGGCGTAGACAAACCTACCGCGCATCCAGTTGTATGGAAAGACATACAGACGATACCAGGCGGCAGGTGCTGCTTGATAAGGAGATGTTATTGGGTTCTGTATTTACAACATGTCCAGATGGGCAAGGTGCGTCTTACGCGGTGGAGGGGGAGAAATAAAGAATGTCCACGCGCTTCTGCCCTTTTCAATGCTTTATTGCCTCAAATCACTCAGCACAATTTCACTCTATAAGTTCTTCATCAAGAAGATGACAATCCCTAATGCTGGGCACTGCGGTAGACAGAATCAATTCACAGCAAACAATTCTAGATTAGTTCTAAGCTCTGCAAACACACTTCATCATGACAGGCTCATGGCCTCTGCGTGCTAAGCTCAAGGGTCAGGTCTAAAGTCTCGAGTCTTGGGCCTTAAGTCCAGCCAAAGGAGGCTTCTCCTGGTGTGGAGCTGACGACTGGCTGAGGACACGTCACACGGTCCTTTTCTCACCAGGGTCAAGAGGCTGCTGCAGAGTTTGAGAGGGTGAGGACGATGCAGAGGATCAGGCAGATGATGAGAAGGGTTGGGGTGTCCGTGCAGCTCCTCCTCAGGCTGTCCGCGTGTGGGCATCGTGTGGGCTGGCTGAGTGTTCATTTGCTCCATCATTTATACTAAATTTGGGGGCTTCTGCCCGCCCTTTCAGTCCCTATCAGCTGTTACCAGGGTTCCTAGTGACGTCCACATTTTAGAGTCAGGACATGTGGTTTGGTGATTTCCGCCCTGATCTTACTTATCAGGGCAAAGGCAAATGACATGT